TCTGAATGGAAGTGAGTGCGGGGCGCATCCCTCAGACGGGATTGATTAGCGCGAAAAAAACTTTATCTTTGATCCTTTTACCTTTTCGGAGAAATTCGGCGCGGTCGTAGTTCCAACATTTGAAGCTTAAATTGTTGCTGTTCTGCTAGGAAGACCTTTCGTCTGGATAATCGCATACTTTTGAATTCACGCAGAAATACAGACTTTACAATTAAATTTTCTAGCCGTAAGTGATTTTTGTTCGAGCAAGAACTAATTTCAGCGTATGCGATTTCCTCCCTTTGATGACGAAGAACCGCCTCTCGATTATGCGGACAACATTCTCGATGTGGAACCTCTAGAGCCGATTCAAATGGAATTGGATCCAGAGGAGGATCAAACTGTTACTGAATGGTTTTATGATCACAAGCCGCTTCATAATTCAAGGCGAGTTGGATACTTTAATTTGTTGTGCATCCCCTCTTTGCTACTGAAAAAGTTGCAATCAATTTCAGTTGCTAATTTTTTTCAAGCTAAAATGAAATGATCCGTTTGTTTCAGATTCGTGAATGGCCCTACATACAGACGATGGGCCTTCAGTATTCCTATAATGGCCACGCTTTATCGTCTCGCAAATCAACTTCTGACTGACTTAACTGATGACAATTATTATTATCTCTTCGATTTGAAGTCATTCTTCACCGCCAAAGCTCTCAACGTGGCGATTCCCGGAGGACCCAAATTTGAGCCTCTTATAAAGGACATCAATCTGTACGTTTGTAATAGCAATCACATCATAATTTCCCGTAGGAATTTTCCCTTGTAGCAAACAAATTAATTGGACCAGCTTTAGGGACGAAGATTGGAACGAGTTCAATGACATCAACAAGGTGATTATTAGAGCACCAATCCGGACAGAATATCGCATCGCATTCCCGTATATGTACAATAACCTCGTCAATGCGCTACCTGTCCAAGTTTCATGGTATCAACTTTCCTTCTTCAAGTTCGCTTTCATACAAAGCATGTTCAATTACAACTTCTTAGGTACCATACTCCGTCCGTAGTGTACATCAAGACGGAAGATCCAGATCTCCCTGCCTTCTACTTCGATCCTCTTATCAATCCGATCACGATCAGTGGTCTGGAAAGGGTGGGTAAATAGATAATTCGTTAGAGTCGAATACGCGCAAGTATGTTGGGTTTTGTCTTAAGGCTTGGCATTTCCCTGAATGATTGCGCTAAATTAAATACGTCGCAGGCGCGGTTGGTGAAGGAGGTGGAGCCTGTGTTTGAGTTACATGCTGTAGCGCATTTTCTTGAATGCAGGTTTTTACTTCACAAAGTGTGCGAACCCAACCTAGATTTCTGACGTTACATGCAGTATTGTGGGCTGTGCGCTAGTGAAGAATAGCTCTGTACTAAACATTCCTCTTTTAGACCGCAGAAAATCTCCCAGACGATGACGAAATGAACGAATTTGAACTTCCGGAAGATGTTGTGCCCATTTTCGAAGAGGTACTTTTCGGGAAATTCCGAATTCTATGTGTCTGTCATATGTTGGTTTTCAGGTACCGCTGTATACAGACAACACAGGTAACGGTATAGCCTTATTATGGGCACCACGCCCATTCAACATCCGATCTGGGCGCACGCGAAGGACCATTGATGTTCCTCTAGTGAAGAGTTGGTACCGCGAGCATTGCCCAGCAGGTACTTTTGCAAAGCATGGTAATGGCTCAGCAATTTTAGTAGTCATGGAAGCCAAATTTCAGGAATGCCCGTAAAAGTACGTGTATCTTACCAGAAGTTGTTGAAAGTGTTCGTATTGAATGCACTCAAACATCGTCCTCCTAAACCGCAGAAGCGAAGGTACGGCATACCCATATACATCGGTTTTTTATGGCTTCAAAACCTACATATAATCATCTTGCTTGTGATTGAGTTAGGGTAAACGAGGCTCGGCATAGCTTCAGGGTGTAAGCCAAGTTCCAGCGAAGATCTTCCAGAAGCGTTCTTCCGACCATGATTCTGAAAAATTAAAATAGCCAGTGATTCAAAGATGCTTAGATTAAGTGCAGTGGCTCAATTCGTCATCCTGAAAAGGGTTGTACTAGAGGACCTTGTGGAACCCAAACAGCTGATCATAATCTAGAGTACTGCTGTAAAAACACTTACCAATTAGAAAAGTGGAAATTGAATTGGTCTTCAACTACAAGAATCCCATCTTCTTTATTTATGCCTTGTTTTATTTGTAAGCTTATAGATGTAGGTAGGGATTTGAAAGTTCGAAAATTCTAAGAGGTTCATTGCTAAATCTCAATAAGTGTTCCCTCAGTTAGACGAGAGAATTCTGCTCAGGTACTTGTTCCGCTCGTTCAAGTCAACTAAGTTCTTCCAAACTACAACTCTAGATTGGGTAGAAGCTGGACTGCAGGTAAACGCTATCATTGGTTTCGAATTGGGCTTTCTCTGATGTTCGTCGCTTTTGCTTCCAGGTCTTGCGACAAGGATATAATATGCTTAATCTTCTTATCCATCGTAAGAATCTCAACTATCTCCACTTGGATTATAATTTCAACTTGAAGGTCAATATTTTGCTTCATTAATGGTCCTTATAAAACTTCATTTTAAAATACACTTTTTAGCCTGTAAAAACGCTAACGACCAAGGAGCGTAAAAAGTCACGTTTCGGTAACGCTTTCCACTTGTGTCGTGAGATTCTGCGTCTAGCGAAACTTGTTGTGGACGCACATGTGCAGTACAGGTGTTGTACTTTCAGAAGCTATTTTTATGAGATTGCGGCCATATCTTACAAACCATAATTTATTTTTCTTCAAGGCTCAACAATGTCGACGCTTACCAACTTGCTGATGGCTTGCAATACATTTTTGCGCATGTTGGGCAATTAACTGGAATGTACCGGTACAAGTACAAACTAATGAGACAGGTATTATAAAGGATGCAAGCTTTTTTCTTGATCGATTAAGAAGGGTGTTTTTTAGGTACGAATGTGTAAAGATCTAAAACATGTCATATACTATCGCTTCAACACTGGAGCAGTAGGTAAGTTGTAAAAAACAGGTTCTTTCTATGAAAGTGTGTCTAATGAATTAAAGGCACTGTTCACGAAAAAATGGTTTCGAAGATATGCTCATGGTTTGAATTCGACGCCCAATCTGATTCCATTTGTGCAGAAATGAGGTCGGAAAACGGTCTGGATAGGGCACAATAAGGGCAGGAACAGTGGGGGACGGGAGGCCTACGCCCCTCGCTAGGCTGACTACGAAATCTAATTGCTGCTCATCACTTCCGCATTGGAGCGAAGTTGTCTGCTTGGGTGTGTTTTCTGCTATTGCAGACATTGCGTTGCCTTCCTGCACTCGCCCGAACATTCCCTTAACCGTCGTTCTTCCAATATGAAACTCTTCCAACCCCCTTTCCAGCTCTTTTGACCCTTTTTATTTCTTTTTGTTCATCGTTTTTTGCGCTTTTTTCGTTGTTATCGCTTTACTCTAGAGTAGTTCTATGAATTCCCGTCAAAAAAGGGTACCCTGAATTTATCGTAAACGGTGCCTTTAAGTGTGTAATGAAATTTGAATAAGTGGCGTCAATTGATTACAGGCAAGGGTCCTGGTTGTGGTTTCTGGGCCCCTGGATGGCGAGTCTGGCTCTTCTTCTTGAGGGGTATAACTCCACTTCTGGAGAGATGGCTTGGAAATCTGCTATCAAGGCAGTTCGAGGGTCGTCATTCAAAGGGTGTTGCAAAGACTGTCACCAAGCAGAGAGTAGAATCTCACTTTGATCTGGAGCTGAGGTGAGCTATTTCTTCTGTGCTCTTGCCGTTTCACTTATTCAACGTTTCAGAGCTGCCGTAATGCATGATATTTTGGATATGATGCCTGAAGGTATCAAGCAGAACAAGGCTCGTGTAATTCTGCAACATCTCAGCGAAGCTTGGCGTTGTTGGAAGGCTAATATCCCGTGGAAAGTAAGTTAAAGGATTTTGTAAATTCATTGGGAACTTCTGAGACTCACCACTTTTCAAATCGTTTTTGCTCCCTTGCAGGTTCCTGGGCTGCCGACTCCTGTAGAGAATATGATTCTTCGTTATGTTAAAGCCAAGGCTGATTGGTGGACCAATTCAGCTCACTATAACAGAGAGCGTGTTCGCAGAGGTGCAACCGTGGACAAAACTGTCTGCAAGAAGAACTTAGGAAGGCTTACTCGGTTATATTTGAAGGTACTCGTTGTGATCACTATTTCACTATTGTTGCCTGCAACGACTACACATCTTCGATTTAGGCAGAACAAGAGCGACAGCACAACTATCTGAAAGATGGACCGTATATTTCGGCTGAAGAAGCTGTAGCCATCTACACTACGACTGTACATTGGTTGGAATCTCGTCGATTCTCTCCTATTCCTTTCCCACCTCTGTCATACAAGCATGACACGAAGCTTCTGATTCTGGTATGTATAGCACTTCCTTAGTAGCCAGATGCATGGATGAGTAAACTTCTTTCAGGCTCTTGAGCGTCTCAAGGAAGCGTACAGTGTAAAGAACAGGCTAAATCAGTCTCAAAGAGAAGAGTTGGCTTTGATTGAGCAGGCTTACGATAATCCTCATGAGGCACTGTCTCGTATCAAACGTCATATGCTCACGCAGAGGGCGTTCAAGGTATTTGTTCTGCTGAATGTTGTTTATGGATTACCCTAGACGAGACCTTTTAGGAAGTCGGCATAGAATTCATGGATTTGTACACTCATTTGATCCCTGTATACGATATTGAGCCACTGGAAAAAGTAACAGATGCATATCTCGATCAATATCTCTGGTACGAGGCTGACAAGAGAAGGTGCTGAAATCTTACTTTTTAAATTTTTGATGCCAAGTTTTCTTAGTGGATGGGAGAGTGACTATGATTTCAAGGATGGAAAGCAAATAAGCCGTTAGAAAAATTTTTCCCATTTTTCTCAATAAGAGCTGTTTGTGGTGCGACGGCACATATTGCGTATATATTTCAGCATAGTTAATCAGTTTGCCTTCTTTAGCTTTATCAATTAACATTTGGGACTTCTTATTTCTTGAGTCACCGTGATATCAATACGAAAATAGACAGAATATGGGAAATGATAGTTTCACATTGACATTTATGTTTTGGGGAGATTTTAACGTGAAAGCAGCATAAGACTAGGCAATAAACGAGTTTTTACTTTCTGACTATTGTTTTTGTCTGTATATTTGTAAGATTTGTTTGCTTAGATTCGTATTATTTTTAAGATTGTTCCCTTCATGGGTGAAACCTGGTGATACCGAGCCTCCTCCATTGTTGGTTTACAAATGGTGTCAAGGAATCAACAATTTGCAGGATGTTTGGGAAACTGGAGAGGGTTTGTTATAGATGATTGGTTTGTCAGTTTTAACATGAGGGATTTCTTCAAAAATCAATTTAAGGTGAATGTAACGTCATGATGGAGGCTAAGCTCGAGAAGGTTGCTGAAAAAATGGATCTTACGCTTCTTAACAGATTGCTGAGGTTCGTTTATGGAATATCAGAATGTTGTCGTGTCAGGGTTCTAACTCTAAGAATAGAAAAATTGAAGGTTAATTGTGGATCACAACATTGCTGACTATATGTCTTCCAAAAACAACGTTCTGATTAACTACAAGGATATGAATCACACAAATTCGTTTGGGATCATTCGTGGTTTGCAGTTCGCATCGTTCATTGTGCAGGTATTTTCTTCCTGATTTCCTTCGCTACGAAGTGATTCACTGCTGTGTTTCCGGTTAAGTTGCTTATCGTTCATCCAATTTAGTACTACGGCTTAGTTTTGGATCTCCTCATCCTTGGTCTTCGTCGGGCTTCGGAAATCGCAGGTCCTCCGCAATGCCCCAACGAATTTCTTACTTTCCAGGTTCGCTCATATGCACTATAGACAATTTGAGGTTTTCTTTTGCAATCTTTCTTGCTGGGCCTGATGAATGTTATGTTCAGGATATCGCTACGGAAACAGTGCACCCAATCCGTCTTTATTGCCGATACATTGATCGGATTTGGATAATGTTCAGGTATCGTAAATAAGTGTGCAGTTTCCGAAGCTAGGGTGATCGCTACTATTTCAGGTTCACGGCTGATGAAGCGCGCGATCTTATACAAAGGTATCTCACTGAACATCCAGATCCAAATAACGAGAACATCGTTGGATATAACAATAAGAAATGTTGGCCACGTGATGCTAGAATGCGTTTGATGAAGCATGATGTGAACTTGGGTAGAGCTGTTTTCTGGGATATAAAGGTACGTTGATTCCTCCCTCTCTTCGTTGATCATTTGTTGCCTATCTTCTATTTTGCTCTCTTTAGAACCGACTTCCTCGTTCGGTGACAACGATTGAGTGGGAGAACGCCTTTGTATCGGTGTACAGCAAGGATAACCCGAATTTGCTTTTTGATATGGCTGGTTTTGAATGCCGTATTCTGCCGAAATGCCGCACGACTGCTGAAGAGATCACTCACAGGGACGGAGTGTGGAATTTGCAGAATGAGGTATTTACTTTTTACGACTAAGTGCTAGGAATCTAGATAACTCAAGGAAAAGTATGGTCGATCCTTGCAATCTTCTAATGGATATACCACGCCATGAGAAAGCAATAAGCAAATGAAGTAACTGGCTTTCATTTCTAGGTCACCAAGGAGCGTACAGCGCAGTGCTTCTTGAAAGTCGATGAAGAGTCCATGTCGAAATTCCACAACAGAATTAGACAAATTCTGATGTCTTCCGGTTCAACAACATTCACAAAGATTGTCAATAAATGGAACACTGCTCTCATTGGTCTCATGACCTATTATAGGTAAGAGAAGGCTCAATCTGATTTGCTCTTTCGTATCAGTCTTTTCTTTTTCAGGGAGGCTGTCGTTAACACGCAAGAGCTGCTAGATTTGCTCGTGAAATGTGAGAATAAAATCCAAACTAGGATAAAGATTGGACTCAACTCTAAGATGCCAGCAAGATTCCCTCCGGTTGTGTTCTACACGCCAAAGGAAATTGGAGGCTTAGGTAATCATTTCTCTTCTCATAATGACGTTGCTGTTTAACGTGGTAACTCTTTCAGGAATGCTTTCTATGGGTCACGTGTTGATTCCACAGAGTGATCTGCGTTGGATGCAGCAGACAGATGCTGGAGGCATTACCCATTTCCGATCAGGAATGACTCATGATGAGGATCAGCTTATTCCTAATTTATACCGATACATTCAAGTTCGAGCTTTTCTAAATTCCTTATTGTCATATGAGAACCACAAGAAAGTATGCTCGTGTACTTTTCAGCCGTGGGAAGCTGAGTTCATCGACTCACAGCGTGTATGGGCCGAATACGCGTTGAAGCGTCAGGAGGCGAATGCCCAAAATCGTCGACTGACTCTGGAAGATCTTGATGATTCGTGGGATCGTGGTATCCCACGTATCAATACCTTGTTCCAAAAAGATAGACACACTCTCGCCTATGATAAGGGATGGCGTGTGAGGACCGAGTTCAAAGCTTATCAGGTGGGACCGTGATTTGTAACGAAAGGCCTTCAGTTTTTGTTTTTATCAAAGAATCGAGTAGTTATAAATGGAAGTGCAGCTTTCCCGGATGCTTCTACGATAAGAACAACATAAGTTTATGAGTCACAAAAAATACATGTGTGGAATCAGTTGGTTCATATCTTGCCACTTGCAGATTCTGAAGCAAAATCCTTTCTGGTGGACTCACCAGCGACACGACGGAAAGCTGTGGAATCTGAATAACTACCGTACTGACATGATTCAAGCGCTTGGTGGTGTTGAAGGAATTCTTGAGCACACACTGTTCAGAGTCAGTTGACCTAAATGTTTTGAATTGCGTATCGACTGAAAAGCGTTATTTAGGGCACCTACTTCCCAACTTGGGAAGGGCTGTTCTGGGAGCGAGCGTCTGGCTTCGAAGAATCCATGAAATTCAAGAAGCTGACCAATGCTCAGCGATCCGGTCTGAACCAAATCCCCAATCGTCGTTTCACATTGTGGTGGTCTCCGACAATTAACAGAGCAAATGTAAGTTCATTACTTTATACTGTCGCCTGTTGGTATCAGTTGCGAGCTTGCTTCAATACCTGTGTAATTAAGGTCTATGTTGGTTTCCAAGTGCAGCTGGATCTTACTGGAATTTTCATGCACGGAAAGATCCCAACACTCAAGATTTCCCTTATACAAATATTCCGTGCTCACTTGTGGCAGAAAATTCACGAGTCTGTTGTTATGGATCTGTGTCAGGTAATCAATGTTGCGATATATACTACTTAGATGTACGTTACGGTGACTTTCTTTAAAAGCTAATCTGTTGTTGTCTAACATGCTGAATTTAGTGTACGATTACAACAGCATTCAGCCACTAGTAATTCTAGGTCTTCGATCAAGAATTGGATGCTCTTGAGATTCAAACTGTACAAAAAGAGACTATCCATCCCAGAAAGTCCTACAAAATGAACAGCTCATGTGCAGATATTCAGTTGTTTGCGCAGTACAAGTGGAATGTTTCTCGTCCTTCATTGATGGCTGATAGCAAGTGAGTCTATACCCTGTAAGAGTGTTACTGTTCCAGGAAGTACAATCCATCACCATCGGTGTTCTTAAACAGCACTCAACCGCTAATAATTTACAGAGACGTCATGGATAGCACGACGACACAGAAATACTGGATTGATGTACAGCTCCGTTGGGGAGACTATGACTCCCATGATATTGAACGATATGCAAGGTAAGTTGAAAGATGAGAACTCGCAAATGATCAGTAGGTTATGTTGAGAAACATTTATCAGTGAGGCATCAGTTCCCATCATTTCTAGTGATATTTCAGAGCTAAGTTCCTCGACTATACCACCGACAACATGTCTATCTACCCATCCCCAACNCGACACAGAAATACTGGATTGATGTACAGCTCCGTTGGGGAGACTATGACTCCCATGATATTGAACGATATGCAAGGTAAGTTGATAGATGAGAACTTCCAAATGATCGGCAGGTTATGTTGAGAAGCATTTCTGTAGTAAGGCCTCAATTTCCCATCATTTGTAGTGATATTTCAGAGCTAAGTTCCTCGACTATACCACCGACAACATGTCTATCTACCCATCCCCAACGGGTCTCCTCATTGCGATGGATCTCGCCTATAATTTGTACAGGTAGGATATGTTTCATACCGAAGCTGCATTCAATCTCATTTCCAAATCTACTGCATTTCGTTTTAGTGCTTATGGAAATTGGTTCCCTGGAATGAAGCCACTTATTCGACAAGCCATGGCGAAGATCATCAAGGCCAACCCGGCTTTCTATGTATTGCGAGAGCGTATTCGAAAAGGGTTGCAGTTGTACAGTTCAGAACCAACAGAACCATATCTTACGAGTCAGAACTACGGAGAGCTGTTCTCGAATCAAATCATTTGGTAAGGTTTTCGCAAACTGGCAGACTATTGGTAAGCGACTTAACTCACCTACTTCAGGTTTGTGGATGATACAAATGTATATCGTGTAACCATTCACAAGACGTTCGAAGGTAACTTGACAACGAAGCCTATCAATGGTGCCATTTTCATCTTCAATCCTCGTACTGGACAACTGTTCTTGAAGATCATTCACACATCTGTGTGGGCTGGCCAGAAACGTCTTAGTCAGGTCACTATTTTCTATGTTTTCTGATAGATTCCCTCATGGGTGATGCTAGCTATTGCATCAACATTCGTACTACACCATCCAGGAAGACCTCGTTTGCACTGAAAACTGGATTTTACCCTTAGTTTAATCTATACAATAATGTGGAACGTAGAATTACTTTTGAATTTTTAGCGCTTATTTTTTAGTTGATTCTTGAGCAGTAGTTTTATGCTCCCATAATTTTTACTATCATTCACGTCCCATTAAAATTGTTCGAGAATGATGAAATCACTTTCGTTTTCAGCTCGCCAAATGGAAGACTGCAGAAGAAGTTGCTGCTCTTATCAGATCCTTACCAGTGGAAGAGCAACCACGACAAATCATTGTTACCCGAAAAGCTATGCTGGATCCTCTCGAGGTCAACAATTCACGGTTTCAAATAATGGAAGAAATAGACTCCGCGTCCTTATTGAACTTCTTTTGTAGGTCCATCTTCTCGATTTCCCTAACATTGTGATCAAGGGGTCGGAGTTGATGTTGCCATTCCAAGCAATCATGAAGGTTTGTGTAGTAATCATTTGTGCCTAAAGAGGGTATCGACATACGTATATATGAATAGTTCGATGAAATCGTCAGCTATGAGATTATGAGTCGTCGATATGTGGGATAGTCGAGATCCAAGTGTAGACCGTTCATAACATTGTTCGGCCTTCTGGTATATCTCGAATAGAATGAGCGATCATTGAACAGATCGGTGCTTTGTTTGATATGGGCACAGTTCTACTATATGAACGTACATCGTTTATTAGTTTAGCGAACTTATGTATATCTTGAAAAGTTGTAATGCTAATAATCCAGGTCGAGAAATTCGGTGACTTGATTTTGAAAGCAACTGAGCCCCAAATGGTATTGTTCAACTTGTACGACGATTGGCTCAAGGTGATTCATACTTTAGCTTGAAATCTTTTCAAATTTCTCTTTTTCTTTACTTTTACTCTTTTTTACAAATCCTCATGATTTCAGACGATATCAAGTTACACAGCGTTTTCCCGAGTTATCCTGATTATGCGTGGTATGCACATCAATCCTGATAAAACGAAGGTGATCATAAACAATTTCCGATGTTTAAAGTCGCGGATTTGAGATGTTTGATCTTATTTTCCTTGTATTCAGGTTATTCTGAAACCGGATAAAACAACGATCACTGAACCTCACCACATCTGGCCTTCTCTCATAGACGAGGAATGGATAAAGGTGTGATTCACAACTGAGCCTTTACAGCTTAAAGCACTAGTTCTTATCAGACAAAACAGTGGTTTTGCTTTTGATTTCCTTGAAGAAGAGAGAGTCTTAAGAGTTGAAGGATACTTGACAAGTTATTTTCAGGTTGAGCTGGCTTTGAAAGACATGATTTTGGCCGATTATGGTAAAAAGAACAATGTAAACGTGGCATCGTTGACACAATCTGAAGTGAGAGACATCATCCTTGGTATGGAAATATCTGCACCCAGTCAACAACGACAACAAATTGCCGATATCGAGAAGCAAACGAAAGAACAGAGTCAGGTAGGGATTAAGCATACACCATTGTCAGCTTAAATGGGGAGGCGGTGGTGATTCTTGCTTTCTGTATGTTCTGAAATGTGTTCAGTACCAATTTTACTCATCAGTCTATTTTTTGGTATATGCTATAACTTTCTGGCAGTAAAATATGAAGCTAAGGGGTGATCAAGGTTGAGAAGTACTGTATTTATGAAAAGGAGATACGGAAAGTGAACTGCAAGCTGTGTTAGTTCTCAAAGCACTCGTGCTCCAACGTACTATTGCAAAGAAGGTTAGCTGAGTGATTAGGAGAAATCAACTGGAAGTTCTTTGCAAATGTGCTTTTCAGCTCCCTTGGGAACTAGGTGTGCTACTTGAGAATTGGTGCACTAATTACTTGTCAGCATTTTGATTCGAAGGCAGGTGTGTACCCATTAATACACTGTTTTTCTTTAAGGTTACGGCTACGACTACTCGTACCGTGAACAAACATGGAGATGAAATAATAACAGCCACAACTTCAAACTATGAAGCTGCAACATTCGCTAGTCGTACGGAATGGAGGATTCGTGCGATCTCGGCCACAAATTTGCATTTGAGGTAGATTTTTGATGGAATTATTGGCTTCCCATTCTTGTGCTTTATAATTTCACTAATTTACTGTGAAACCTTTATTTATTTGTTTTAAGAACACAACACATTTATGTGAGCTCCGATGATGTAAAAGATACAGGATTCACCTATATTCTACCGAAGAACGTTCTAAAGAAATTCATTACTATATCGGATCTCAGAACTCAAGTAAGTTTTCTCAATATTCACTCTTTTCATCCGTTATCCGAGTGTAATCCGGGTTCTTAAGTTGAGGATGTCTAGAGAGCAATGTTTGTAAGTCACGAAATTCGGAGTAGTTGATCGGCAAGTCAATAGAAGCTTGTTCTAAAAAGTACGATCTGGAGAAAAGCCAGCGTAGGCACAGAGCTGATTGCCATCAGGGTTCAAGGTAGCGCTGATGGTACTAAACGGAGGAAGTTCTCTTGATTTTTTCGGGACAAGAGCGATACTACTATGATGAGGCCAACCCTCTTCGTTTCGCCGATGGGTGGAAATGACATCAAATTCAGCAACATTTACTGAATTGTAACATTAACTTTTTTGTCTCACGTGATCTTGCACTTTTTTTTTATTCAGATTGGCGGTTTCCTCTATGGTATTTCACCGGCTGACAATCCTCAAGTAAAGGAAATCCGTTGTGTTGTACTAGTACCACAAACTGGAAATCATCAGCAAGTGCAGTTCCCGTCCCATCTCCCACAGCATGAATTACTCAAAGATCTGGAGCCGCTCGGATGGTAAGTTATTTTTTCTTATAGTCAGAAATTTTTATTTAGCGGAAACCTGTTGGGTTGTAATGGATACCCTTTGCGAAAGTCATTCATTAATAGGATGCACACGCAACCAAATGAATTGCCGCAACTATCGCCTCAAGACGTGACCGCACATGCGCGGATACTATCTGAAAACGCGACTTGGGATGGAGAGAAGACTGTTATCATCACTTGCAGGTATGCGATGGCCATTGATTTTTTTTTNTTTTTTTTTCGTTTTTACTTAACACCTTTTTCCCATTGGACATTAGACAGTGTATTTTATAACTCAGGTTCCATTTCTGTGCTCAGCTGAATGTTTTACATTGACCAACCTTTGCGTATATGAGTCTTACTGTAATTAAATACATATTACAATCATCATAGCACCTACTTTCCATTTTTATTCCTTAACATTTTTATTATCTTAACCTCCAGTTTCACTCCTGGATCAGTGTCCTTGACTGCATACAAGCTTACGCCATCAGGTTATGAATGGGGTCGCTCGAATACTGACCGAGGAAACAATCCGAAGGTAACCTGCAATTTTTTCATTACCTAACAGTATTTTATGCTCACTTTTTATTCGTTTTACGCATTGAGCTATGTACCGTACGGTAACTACGGTAACTTCAGGGTTACATGCCAACTCACTATGAAAAGGTGCAGATGCTGCTGTCAGATAGATTCCTCGGGTATTTCATGGTGCCTAGTGGTGGTGTTTGGAATTATAACTTCCAAGGTTAGTTTGAGCTGCGCTATAAAAATAACTTATTCAGAAAGTGTCATCTTGTTCTTGTAATTATGTTATGATGTCAATTCGGTTAAGTGATTCTTCTAACCTATAAATTGTCTTTACCCATGAGCAGCTCCAAGTCATCCTGTTCAATTTAGGTCAGCGGTGGGCGCAGTCGATGAAGTATGATGTATGCCTTGCTAATCCAAAGGAATACTATCACGAGGACCACCGGCCTGTGCACTTCCACAACTTTAAGGTTGGAGTCTTGAAGTTTAACCCTTCTTTTTTTCCTATATATTTGTTTCTTGACGTTACATTTCTATTTACCTTTTTCAGTTATGAAGTGGATTTGAATATTTCAGGCATTTGACGATCCTCTTGGTATAGCTATGGCTGATCGCGATGACAGTTTTGCATAGATGAGTGTTGTTGTGTAATAAAACCCAGAAGGATTGTTGTTTTCTGTTTCATTATACATATTTATATTTCTGTGCAAGCTATTTTACTATTATTTAATGTCTGTTGTTAGCATTCGCAATCCTGTCGCTGGATTCGAATTCCGGGTGTAGTTATTAAGTCCGCAAACTCGCATGCTGGACACCACGTTGTTTCCTGATACTCCCAAGATTTCAACTACTCTTGTTGTTGTTGTAGATGTATTATCCACAAGATCATTTTCTGTTTTTTTTTTGAAACAATACTGTGTGTAAACATCCCGTGTAAATTTTCTTCTCAGTAGCAGAAACAAGTATCTTCTAATGGATATTGTTTACGTGATTGTTGTTGTGTTGTTTCATTACAGTATGGTGAGATACTCTGGTAACCGAAAGGTGAGAAGATAAAAAGTCATTTCTCATAGTGCTCGACAGTGAACGTTATAGGTTTCTGCCTCCTTACTTTTCTTTTTCGAAAGGGGTTGCGCTCATCATATGTCTGAGTCGATTCTTGAAATCATTTCGGAATTGCAATGGTGGATTACCTGTGCCATGGCCATCACTTTTGGTGTTGAGAGGATAACTGGGTTTTGCCAAATGAAATCAATCTTGTGGATAGTTGTTGTAGTGAGGAGTGGAGAAAGGACCTGAAATGAGCGTTGAGGGATTAAGCTGGGTTTTTTGGCAGTTTTGTTTTTCATTCTGTCTGCGTAGCGTGTTTGTAACATTAATGTTACACTTACCTAGTGGCACAGCTCAGATTGTGAATAAGTTTCATTCATCTACTCAAGCATCTACCTCCCTCTTAATTTCTTGTACCTTTTTTCTGTATTTTTCTTTTAAGACCAAATGGGGATGTTTTCGTCTCAGATTGTTGTTGGCATTTTGCACTCTAGGCTTGATCGCTGAGTCAGATTTCGTTGATTCTTTGCCAATGTAACGACTCTCCCTCCTGACGTAACTGCTCTCCCTCCTACGCAGTCCCAGTTTAAATGTCTGTTTCTACATCAGCGCAAGTTAAGCATGACAAACGGGTCTACCATGGCCGAGTCTGACGCACCTTGAGGCGTTATTGTAAGCCTTATTAAATGCAGGGTGAATTATCTTATGCATGTCAAGTCATAGTCAAGGCGCTCCACCTTGTCTGTATAGCCTTTCATTTGCTTATAATTGATATAACATTGTTCATATTTTCATTGCTAACAGCCTAGTTCTCCATGAAATGTTAGCTTAATTAATTTGGTGCGATGGAAACATGGCACTTTCTCTCCCTATCAATCACGCATAAATGTACGAGTGATCAATAGACAAAAGAGTAAAAACAGAAAACTTGGGGTTCTTGAAGCGCACTTATTTTCCACTGCCACGGAATTTTGGTTATTTTTTATGCTGGTACTGTAGACTGGCACTTCACGTTGCCGTACATTGAACAGAAGGTGAAACGCCAGCGGAACGATTGAAGGCAGCAGATGATTGCGCGTGAGCAGAGGGGACACCAAATATGCCTGTATGGTAACTTGGGCCGCACGACAGTCTCGTTAAAATGTACTCTGCTGATGGTTACGTCATTGCAAAGATCACTTGGTTAGTCTTCTAGGTGCTCACAAGAGGGAAAGGATAATTGTAGTGTAGGCCTTGCCTCTGCTCCTCCACAGCTGGCACATGTATAGTATCTGTCTGCATGCAATGGTAGACGTGAAATCTGCTGCGTATTCGGCCCAGTTATACACCAGAGGCTTCATAGCGCTTACTATTTCACATAAACCTGCTGATTATTGATGCTCTTCCGTAATTAACGCAATTGATCTGAAGCTGCTTACGTAAGGTACTTCTCAACCATTTTCCCACAGTAGCAACGAGTATATTTCGAGTGAGACACGTTAATGGTAGCGACCAAAGTCATTATACTACTTAACGATTGTCTTACGTATGGTACCTTTTTCTATATGTCTGTTGGAAAAGCCATAATGCGTTGAGTAGAGCTCTAGGGAAGTCGATAATTCGTTATTTATGACTTTTTAAAACGACACTATATGTTCTCGCTGGGGTCCCTCGTGTGACAGCACATGAAGGATTCTCTTCTAGAATACGTCTGATAAGTAGTGTATTCACGCTTGTCATATTTATTAGACCTAATGGTCCTGTATGTATTCTTCTTTCACTCTCCATATTGATGAGGGAAAACTGGCTTGAAATACTTCTCTTTTAGAAACCCCCAGGTTTAAAAGGGTAAGCCCAAGAAAAGTGCGCAAAAATTCCTCACATTCCGAGCGTCATTTTCTTTAATTCTCATCTCATGCTTGCGGATATTCGTGCAGTAGGAGCCTCATGTAGCATAGGTTTTTCACTCGAAGTAAGACAAGTTAGAACTACAATTTGAAGAAAAAAGTCAAAATAGGTAGAAAGGTAATTTCCGAAGTAAATTTTTCTTCCATTTCTTCGTGAAGCGGTTTGTCCCCTCATGACTGAATCAACGAAAATGTCGTGGTGTCGTGGTGTGTAGCTGTTCATCATGAGCAGTTTCCTCAAGTTTAATCATCGTATTTAACCCAACAAAACCGTGCTTTCTAGCCGGCAGTTTGCGATATCCTTCTGAAGATTTGATGGAACGTTGGAAGCTTTCGGTGCTAAATTTGCAAGATGCCTCCTGCAGAGCGCGAGCTCTCCTTCTACGTCGCGGCCTCTTGTCTTCGAGTGTACGCGTTGGCCTGACTCTAAGGCAAATTTGGGTTGCTACGCGAATTTTTTGATGGATCTAACATAGCTGTTCGGGTCTCCCTGTTCGAAGCGAGAGTCCACACTTATTTAACAGAAATCTCCACTGCAGTTCCTTTGGATTTCAAATCTCTGGTGGTAACAATACACAAACGCTCATGCCTTGGAGCGTGATTTTTGATTTCTATATGTGTTTACCTGAAGTGCGTTTGCCTGTTCATTCTACTTCAATTTACAGAATTTCGTTTTGCGATGCGCCTCCTCAATCGGTGACCGTTTGAGAGATGTGAAATGGCTACCAATGGGAGTGGGAAACCAAAGATGAAGGTAAATATGCTTCTGAACGCAGTTGTTTATAGCAATCTTCTACACTGCTTAGCATTCCTGTTTTGTCTCACAATCAGTTGTACCGTTAAATATTATATAAGGGTAAGAAGGCCTGGTCAAATGGATCACAGACAATTTTGACTATGCTGATTTTTTTCTGCAAGGAAGCAACCTTCTTGTATATTATGGCAATCAGGCCGAGTTGAAAACGAGTGACTTTTGAGGAATCCAGTGCATAAAAGATCGCTTTCATTTCTCAGTAAAACGTTGAAAACAAAAACCTTTAAAAAAAAACTGAGCTCAGAAGTTAGCATTAGGTCTGCCTTCGTCAGTGGGCGTTCTTGTAAACTCAATGTTATCGAAGCATCGACATCAGAATTAAGGTTTCCTTCATCATACGGGATGAAAACGAAAACCGTCATCGTGCAGCAGTGTCCGCATTGCAGTACGACTCAAGTACAGGCCGTTTATTCTCTGCTGGTAATGATACGATAATCCGTCTGTGGAAAGTTCCTGTATCTGGGACAAAGGTAAGGAGTCTCAGTTCCATGATCAGATGTAGCCTTTGTACGACAATCAGTCATATAGCCGAGATATTAATGCAGAAGTTGACTTGAAAACATTATGGGTATTCGATAGGGCCTTAGAGTTGTTTTTAAGTTTTGATCCACGTTTCTTGCCAGAACTTCAGAACTAAGATCACGTGATGAATATTAGGCGCTATGATATCTTTCTCAGTCGATAGTTTGTCTGAATTGATGTAAAGTCCAGAATCCTTTTCAAGTGTGTCTAGCGATGAGGTCAAGTGTCAGCCGATTGTTTGTGGGGCTCTAAAAAAAAAGTAGCCTGTAGTGTGAATGGTGCACTCCGCTTTCATTCTGAAGAACTTGAATTCCTAGAATAAAAAGATGCTCCCTATTTTCTAGGATATCTATTGCTCGATCATGAATTGTCTACTTATCACTCATAGGACTTTGCCTAGGAAGCCTGGCCATCGCACCGTCAGGGAGGTGGGCCGAACACTATGCCTTCACCTCCACAACAGGCTACGTTTGTACAAGCGATGGAACATCATACAGACTGGATTAATGACTTGATCCTGTGTTGTAATGGAAGATTTCGTAAGTATAATATATTGAATCATCAAATGGTACCAACTCAGAATATCAAGACGAAAGAAAAAAATTAGGGTTCTACAGGAGGGGGNGGGGGGGGGGGGGGGGGGGGGGGGGCGGCTGTAGCTGGATCGCATTTTTAAGACATCATTTAAACATAGTTTATTTCATTTGCCAAAAACTTTTCCAGGATTTTAAGCACTCTTCGCATCATTCGCATTTCTTCTACTTACCATCTTCTTCCGGTCATTTACAAAGAGTTTTTGAAGGCTAAAACAAGCGGCTGTATTAACATGGCTCCCAGAAGCATATTTTGAAGAAGTAGGGCATTATAATTCATGAGATTCGTTTTTGTAGTGCTGTCAGCTTCTAACGATACCACAGTAAAAGTATGGAATGCCACGAAACATTTCTGTATGTCAACATTACGAACACACAAGGTTAGTCTGCAAGAGATATTGATGTTTTTCTTCTCAGCATTGTCTTAATTTTTTCCAGGATTACGTGAGTTGCTTAGCGTACGCCAGGGAACACGAAAAAGCGGCCAGTGCAGGATATGATCAATCAATTTATCTGTGGGACATTGCTACGCTAACGAAACTTACTACTACCAACAACACTGTGACCAGTGAGATATGAAGAAAAATGAATATTTTCAGAACTAAGTATAAATTGTTTGCAGCTTCATCTTTGATGGGTTGCAAGAACAGCATCTATGCGTTGGCCATGAACGATTCGGGAACGGTAATTGTATCTGGCAGTACGGAAAAGGTGGGGTAGTTGAAGCTATTAGTTTTTTTTTTNNNNTTTTTTTCTATTTTCCTTTTGAATTTCTGTGATTTTCTCTCTCATCTGCATCTTTGTAGTGGTTCTTCTTACTGGGGTTTTTTTTTTGTCTTGTTCGGCACTTTTTCAGACATTACATAACAACCCTTTTTATCAAAAAATGCGGTTTTTTTCACTGTTGAATGAGAAGTATGGATGAACTAGGATTCTGAAATGTCTAGGTGTGATGCAGGAAAAGTGAGAAAGTAGAGGTCAAACATTATGAACATAAACAGCAAGAGAATTGGTAAGGCTATGGAACATTATGGTCTGGGCTCATTACCGAACGTATTGCGAGTGAGCTGTGAAGGGGCATACAAAGTTTTAGAAATTTTGGAATCCAATGAAGGGGCGACTGTACTTGACGTGTACTCTGATTCGCAGAAATTTTATCTCCTCTTTGAAGTCGAGAAGTTGAAATTTAGTCCCATGTTTTTTGAAAGCTTGCTTTTTGATTGATTTTCCCTATGATATGCATTTATAGCTTGCTTTTTACTTTTCATAGTCATTGGAAAAATGCTGCACTTAAAAACTTATCTCCTGCAGGTTCTTCGAATCTGGGATCCTAGAACTTGTCAAAAGATAATGAAGCTTCGTGGACATACCGAAAACATACGAGCTATTGTTATTAGTCCTGATGGTACAAAGGTACTTTTGATTGTTTTTGTGTCGTTGTATGCATTTTGCTGGTTCTTGTTTATATAATTCTAAAAGAATGTATGTATAAAACACTTGTGATTATATTTAGTGCATATCAGCAAGCGCGGACGCAACGGTCCGTTTATGGGACCTAGGTCAGCAGCGATGTATTGCCACTTGTTTAGCCCACCAAGAAGGCGTTTGGACATTGCAGGTACAAATACAAAATTTTACAAACTTACAATCAACCTACCTTGTTATCGGGTAGTTTGAACAAAAATTTTATGCTATATTAGAATGCGAATTGGTCGCTTAGCCTTTTTTGTGACCTTTCCTTTCCCATAATTTGTCTGATTCCAAATGTTCACCATATCCCTAAGTTGTGAAGAGTTGGAGAACAAGTTTCAGTTCAAGTCTGTTTCAATATTAATGAGATTCTGTGTTAACTTCTGTATCGTCTTCGTGCTTTCTACAATAGGTTTTAGTGGGTGTATGTAGGCCTCGTTAACTAATGAAATTTTACAGTCTGTAAAAAACAGTTGTCGTTATTCCTTTCAGTAGTTTGTATTTTCGTGAAGATATGGTTTATTATTGAACATTATAATTATTTTATCTAGACAGACAACGCGTTCTCGTTTGTGTACAGTGCTGGCAGAGACAGACGGGTCTTTAGAACACCAATTTGTGATTTTACCCAAAGTTACCTTTTGTTCGAGGAAGATGCGTTTGTGAAGAAAGTCAGTTTAATTAAAGGAGATTTTTGAACTTCGTCTCAACCTTTCTATTGGTCTAAATTTGCAGTTATTGCTGGATGATCACGACCGTCCCTCAGCAATCTGGTCTGCCACCTGGAATTCAACCATAAAAAGGTATCCTGGTTCATATGTATAAATATTTATGGTAGAAGTATTGAAAGTCGATAATCCACCTCCGACAGATTGATCTTTATTGTGTAAGCTAGGTTGAGCAAGATCTATTGTCTATGTATAAAAAGGATCCTACAACCACACTTTTGCATGCTGACAGTTGACTGGTTGCGACGGTCTCCAGGGCTCGTCTCACTTCTCATTGTTTCGCGTTAGTCTGTTCCCCGTCGAACTTCACTTTCAGTAGGAATCATTGATGCTTCGACATACCGATGCATGATGACTCGGCTTGCTCTTCACTTTCTGGATTGTCTAATCAACAAAATTTCTTACATTGTAATACCTGATAAGTACTAAACATAGTGCAAGTGTTTCACTTAATCTCTGTGAACGTTAGACGGCATTTTCGTCCGATTCGTGTTTGGTTTCAACTGGATCATTCAGGTGGCCATTACCTTCGAACACCCAGTTATCGATAGGAGATGGTCAGTTAGAAGACGACTTTGCTCATCTTTCTATGAATGCCTTACATCGTTCGCCGGATATTGTCACGGCGGGTGAGCTTTTTAACTTTCTAGGATCGCTAATTCAGCCATAATATAGTATATTACTCATTCACTACTCCTTGGTTGACTAATTGTGTAGATAGTAATCTGCATTGATTGCTTATATAATGTGTAACGATTGAATGACCTCAGCAGGAATATTTATAAACACAGTCGCCTCTTCTAATTTTGGTTCCTTTAGCTTCAAATGTTTCCGGCGTCCCAAACTCCCTCTACTTCCCTGGTGGAGGGAAGTGTAGGAGGGTTCGGGACACCGGGAACATTTGGAAGTAAAAGCCTGGTCTCTTAGGTTGGCAGCCCACAAACGTTGCCCATTCCGGCACATTGATTATTGATCAGAGTAAATCAACCATAGTCGGTGTTGTAAACTTCTACTTCAAAACAAGCAAATAGCAAATGATTTATTTTGAATGAAGCGATGTTCGACTTGGCTGTTGGAGACAAATTAAAGTACTCATTTGAGTATGTGAAAAATGCATATCGACCAATTGAAATCATGAAGGTGGAAGAAAGGAGACGGTGGCTGTTCAGGAGCAACATCAATAAAACAAGCTGGAGTTTTAAACGACAAACGACATGTGATTACGAAGGATTCAGATGATTGTATAGGATTGTACGATGTTTTGGCTGGAAGGAAGGTTCGCATTACTTTCAATTTCAATTTCAATTTTTTATTACATGCGGCAACACTTGTAATAAGGAAAAACAGAAAAACATCAATAGTAAGAAAGGAATTTATAAATGAACAATCCACAAGAATACTGACAGGAAACCAATTGAATCCATGCAGAAAGACAAGTACAAATATTTGATACAATAACAAAACTAATTAGCGAGAGGAAGAATTCTGTCTAATAGTTTTCTGAAAACACTAGTCGAACCCGTCATCGTACATTTTTTTGGTAACTTTTGAAAAATCTGACCCAGCTCTAAAGTGAAGAAGTTTCTACTCATGGAGGAAGAAGAATTTTAAGTGACTGGCCCCGCGTTGTTGACCTATGTAATTTAAAGAAATCACCAGATTTAAGTTCAATCAAGCCATGGAGAATTGTAAATACCATTAACATGTCATTCTTTCTTCGTCGAAGCTTAAGGGATCCAATTTGAGCATCGAGTTCCTTGTAATACTACGCGGAATGCTACTGTAAGTAAAGCCCAGTGAACGAATAATGAAAAAATGAACGAATATTTCCTTCCTAACGAAACTATTTTGAATTCTTTTAATTACTTAGACATATTAGGGGTCATTCTTCGGGGAGAATTTTCTACATGTAGTGGTAACCTGTCGGCTACTGACTGTTTGGTTTTTTTTGTAAAATACTCGCTGTTGAGGTGGCTGATTTTGGTAAGAGACCATTCGAGGACGTCGTATTGGAGCACAATCGAAAAGTTTTCGTGCCAAGCTGGTTTTCTGTAGATTACAAGAGCGGTGTAAGAACTACTAAATGTCATCGAAAGTGGTAAAAGTTTGGAAGAGGAGAAGCTCTCCGAAGCTGTTTTATTTCAGATGCTACAAATAACGCTTGAAGAAGGCGACGTGTTCTCTGCATGGTTGTCAGCGAAAGACGCTGGTGTTGAGGATTCGGATAACAAGAGTAAGTTACTACAATCTTTGGGAGATAATAGAGCTAGCCACGTGACATCGTCCCTTTTGTTAGCAAGCAACTTCTAAGGGAGTTCTTGTGTTCACTAAAATCTTGTCGAAGAGTGATAGAATAAGGAAAAGAACTGATGTAATTCTCAGAAAGAATTGTGACCATCCATCCACCCAGCAAGCGATTCAGAAGAGTACCGCTGACTATTTTCATTGAGGCATGCTGTACACAGAACTTGGAAACGGAGTCTAATTGAAGGAGATTTCTTTCTTTGCTGTATTTTTATTTTAAGTGAGATCCAGCTGGAGTATTCAATCTAATGAATTGATCAGCTAACACGGCTAATAAGTATAAAGGCAGAGTTTAAGATCTGTGTTAGTCACTTTCAGCGTAGTTTATTCTAACCAGACTGTTGCATCCTTTTATGCCCGTGTATCTCGGAAAGATTAACACGAATTGATATATCACGGTAGGCAATGGGTTCTTGTCAAGTGGTTACATGAAAGCTGCTGATGGTGAGTAGTATACCATGAGATCTACTGAACAGTGACCGTCGAAACAATGACTCCTCCCTTGGTTTTGATGTGGAGTCCTCGCTTTTGCGCTCAAGGTTTATGTGACGGAAACTTGCGTTCCTTGAAGCTGCGCTCACCTCCAACGTCTGATTGAGAATCAAGTGACGAACACAGACAGACATTCTGCTCACTATACAACCCAGCCTTTATTGGTGTTACGATTAGCAGATGCTCCTTAGAACAGCGAAATTCTCATTATGATTAGGTCAGGTCAGTGAATCAGATCCCAAACCGAAACTCGCTTCTTGGCCCTACAAACCTTATAAGTAGTTAAAAAGTAGTTGAATTGAAGTAGTTGAACCTTATAAGTATCGTTAAAATAGAAACACTAGGAATAGTGCTTGATTATTGCAGTTAATTATGGTGGAATGATGCTCCGCTCCCTTTTCGAACATTATCAACACTGTGATATGGGTGCGGATGGATCCGAAACAGCTCTGGCCACTGCTGGCTACATTTCGATTCCAGGCCATACGCCCATCATATTGTCGTTAGTCGATGTTTGATTGTTTGCAGCTAATTCAAAATTTCCGATTGAATTCAGAGAAGTCAATGGACGTACGGTTCTACGATTACTGGTACGTGATGCTGCCAACGAGGCAGAATCAGCTTGCTTAGCGAAGGATCTACCAGAGTGGGTGGGTGGTGAGAATGTGTTCAAGTTTTGGAACTGTTTTGATGGATTTCTGATTTAAGATAACCGCAGTTGTTGAAAGAAGTATGCTACCAAAATTCACAAAGATGCCTTTCTACCTTCTGCCACACGCTAGCTTGAATGTAAAGACGCCGAAAAAGTGAGTTGTTTCAAATAGTGTCCGTTCGAGATAGATAGACGTACGCTAGTATGCAGAAAAACGAGTTTCGAAGAATAACAAGTCTCGAAAATCTGAAATATGCACATGTTTCCCATTTCCATCTAAATGACCACGTATCACTCGTCTAAAACTCGATGAAAGCTAGAACGTGACATCCTGATTCATGCCATCTTGATTGAAGTCTTGTTCTGCATCTGAAGCTCATGCCACTGTTTGACATACTCATCCAAAAGATTTCAAGACCGATCGGCGAAAAACCGGGATGATAAATAGATCGAATGCAACTTGTTGTTAATGGGCCTGAGCTCGCAGGTCACAGTTCTTCCCAGAAAGATGTTTTTCACACTATATTGTACGCTTTGTTGACAGTCAACAGCATTTGCTTTCAGAGATCGCCTTTCTGCTACCGAAATGCTGCAAGTTCGTAAAGTAATGGAACATGTGTATGAGAAGATATTGAACAGTCCGGAATCAACAATGGGGGAAACACCGATGCCAGTTCAGATTCCTACCAACATAGAACAAAAGATGGAACTCTACTGTAACGAACAAGTAAGTTAGTTTTCAGACAATTTGGACCTATTGCCGTATCCGGCACTGGTTGGATTTAAAGTTTAACTGGATGCACGGCCAACCTATCCCATCTCGACGGACCTCCACATTCTAGACCAAGCTGACCTAATAGTGGCCTTAATGAATAGACAAGCCCACTTCTTACCGTATATTGGGTTTATTATCTACCCATCTATCTGTTGCTGGCAAAGTGTACATACATTTTAAAGGGTTCTTTTAGAAGCTCGATCCCGATATGGATCTACGATCGGTCAAACATTTTGTTTGGAAGCAAGGCGGTGACCTTCTTTTGTATTACAAGCCGTTGAAGTAGGGCCTTCTGTGTTTTGTTGTTTGTTATACTTTATGCTGTTCATTTTTTCTTATACTTGGAGACATAATTAGCGATGAGATTGGTTATGTAAATTATTATATAAAACCTTCGAATTTTCGGCCCATGAAGAGCTACATCGTTCTTATCACCGCTAGTTGTGTCTTTAAGATGTATGAATTGCGACTTGTGCAAATGTCGATAAAGAACTGGTATTGTCGAAATGTTGATAATCATTTATTGGTTTGATACTGCAGGTAATTATTGCTAATTTATTGAAATTTGCTTGCTAAGTTAACACCGTAGTAGTCAATTCAAGAAATCTGATTCATAGACGTTTCCTTTCTTGATGTGTATTCTTATGTATTGAATTATAAGCGATTAATGTCTGAATCTGTCAAAGTAGCACTGTTTGTGGTGATTTTTATCAAAAAAAAGATCGAGCTCCGATGATGTAAGTAAATGTAAATGGTAACCACTTAATGTAAAGTTTAACCACTTCAGTAGATGTTTTAGATAATGAATTTGCCTAATATGTATTGATTTATCACATTTTTTTAGAAAATGAATTGGTTTCAGTGATAAGTCACCCTTGGTTATGTCATGGTTATAGATCCTTTGTTACTTGACGCATTACCGTTCTTTCGCCTTCCCATTGGTATCCGCTAATGACTTCCCATTACTATATTTCCGAAGCCCAAATCTCACAGATATGAGATCAGCGTCATCGAGTGATGTGGAGCCGTCATCGGATGAGCAACCTCCGGTATGGACGAGTGCAAGTTTTTTGGTGAGTACCACCAGCTGGTCAAGGTTTTCCGTTCTATTTTCGTTTCTCACGGTTTGGGCTGACCACTGAATTTACGTTCATTTCTGGTAGTCACAGTGGCTGAGAATGTGTAACAATCTCGGCTTGTTGATAGGTAATCACTATGACTGTGGTTGGCTATCGTTCGACGATATCGCTTTTTTGTAAGACACGATCAGATTCGTACGAGCAAAGAGTTTTTTTTTTTTTGCATTCTCGTGGCCAGTGAATGCATCGTAGTGACGAACTTGTGTTCTATATTGTAAACCTCTAAACAGATCCTCTATCATGTTCAAGTGGGCGGAGATGGTGTACGGCAAATGGCACTTAACACTCGCATAGTCAAATCCCGTAGCGATATCCGCCTTGGCTAGCCAAGCCTTCCATCCCTCCGAAGTCGGGCAATTGGTAGCAGATTGGTCTGCGAGGATAGAAGCACTGACTTGTACATCGGCTGGTCACTTCATTGTATAGGCCACATATGCACACAATGCGCCTTTACGATTCTGAAAAGGAGTCGAATGCTTGTGGCATCCCCCAGACGGGATTGATTAACGCTTCAAGACTTTATCCATTTACTTTTTACCTACTTTTTACTTTTTTACTTGCTACTACTTTACTTGCTAAATTTTGCTCTTGCTTCTCTTTTGTGGAGTTTCCAGGTTAATGATTTCTTACTGTTATCACTTCAACAGGTACCACAAATTTAGGAACTTCGCACTGAATTCTTAGCTGATCGGACTGAGTTCAAGGCTTTAGAGATCCTCAAGCGAATGGTGGCTATAGATGTCAAACAGGTTGATGCGTGAGTTTCTCTCATTTAGTCTGCTTCTGTATATAATATGCATGTATCCATTTTGTTTCCGTTTTGAAGATATGGTTCAATTTTCTTAGAAATGCCTGGCTTGAATGCAAAGATTTGATGTCAATGCTGCTAAATGCAATCCCAGTCCAAACGTTGCTGGAAACTCAACAGGTTGGATGAACTCTTTTCATTTGGATTTTTCTTCTCACATGCTTCCCTTTAAAATTTGCAAATCATCCGTTGGTAGGGCTCGAATTTGATAAAAAGTCCAGTTTTTTTTCACCCCGTGATCCATAGATTTTGCGTCCTGTTGAGGTAAATTCGAAAGTTGTAGATTATGCTGTTGACGGCTCTCGAGTCATGCCCGTCGCACGTGGTTACTGCACTTGCTGCTCATCTTACAGCCAATCAAGATGTCGTCTCACCACTGTTAAATAGTGTAGCTCAAGCAGTAGCTGTAGCCTTCGCACGTCGGATCAACGATCCCGATACATTTGAGCAGGTGAACATAGCACTGAGTTCGCAGTAATACGTTTCACATTTTTGATTTTGCGCTGGAGCAAAGGCTTTAAAAGGAAGCATTTATATCAAATTCCTGTTGCGACGGAGTTTTGCGTAAACTTCTTTTATATTGGAGTTGAAATCAATTGAGCTACTCGTTCAGTTGGCGACCTTACTTGCACCGGTATCAAGTAATCCACAATTGCTTCAAGAACTTCAACATCAGTTAGCGACGACCGAGAGTTCAGAGCATCGTTTCAAAGTTTACCAGGTGAAACACTAATCTTGCTTTTTGAAATGCGCTCAAGCATATTCTCACTGTGCTCCATGAAAACCCTCAGATACTGATAGAGGAAACTGATTTGGATAGAGGTAGAGGAGTTGAATCGGAAAAATATTTGAAGATCGATGGAAATATTATGGGCAGGGGCAACGCAGAGAGGGATTTCAGCTCCTCAGATTTAGACAATGAATTAGAAGATCAGATTATTTCGGTTTTAACGAGTAATATCCATAATTCCGAAGACATATGCAGAGATTGGGTATGAAATAAAGTTCATCTCTTTTGCTTCTAGTAATGCGTAATGTGGGTGAATTGGGTTCATATTCACTTCTCTCCTGGTGCTGGGACTCTCATTTTTGATCACTTTCAGGTACTTCTTTGTGCCATGCAACGCGGCTACTACACTCCTGCGCTTGCACCAATGTTACAAAGTTTGGTAAAAGAGCTCTCAAGTGAAGACGTGCTAGTTGTGCTAGCAGCTATGGATGCTTTGTCGGATGCAGCGATCGCGTCCAGCGAGAGTGCCAATATTGTTAACGAATCGGGAGCTCCCCAGAAGGTATGTTTCATAGTGCTACCATCCCGATAGTGTTGATAATTGTCTGTGGAGTAATTGACTAATTGTAAGCTTTTCTCACCTCTATGGTTGAAGTGAGTAATATTTTTCCCATCAAATCGCCCATATGTCATCAGTTTATATGTATAGCGTGTCGACTGTCATTGAAGTTGTTGAATTGGAACTCCACCAAGGACTGAGTAGGAACTTGAAACCTTCTCTCCGCGAGCAAATACCTTAAGTGTCTTTTGTAAATACATTAGGTCCAGTGAAAAGTTTTGATCGAATTTTATCCTTTGTAGATTCTTCAGAGTTCCATGATGGGTTTCGTAATGGGTAGACGGTTTCTGAACTTGGGAATTGCTGCCTCATCCTCTTTATTCGCCAGGCCTTGCTCCGTCCGATTACCGTTTGTTTTTGCTCTGGAACATCATTTCCAAAATAGAAAATTTGATGATCGCTTGTAACTCGAAACTGAGATTAAGGCTTTTTCAAATTGTGGCCGCCGCAGTTATGGGCTTCAGGAATGTAAAACTGCCGCATCGGGGGAATACGTTGGAGCTATGTTACCGATCCTTTCCTTGAGATCCTTTTTTTATTCAAATAAGAGTTTTCGAAATCAAGATGAAAAATCGATCGAAACTTCTTACTCAACTTAGTAAATAAATAAATATCTATATACGTAATTTTTTATTTTTAGGTTCACGAGCTGTTGCAAAGCAGCAAAGAGGCACCTGATGGAGGCTTTATTTATCCATGTGAGTCCTTATTTTGCATTAACGTTTGGGAGAGTTCACAAAGGGTTGGCTGTACAGCGGTGGTCACTATCATGGGACTTCATCGGTCTGAAGCTTTTTCATTGCTTTTCTATCGTTTTATCGTCGATGTAGCAATACTTCTGCTGCTTATTTTTCTGTATGAATGCGTAGTAATTTGATGAGAAAACACGACGTCAACTTTTAATGGGGGTGTAGTAAAAAGTGGTGCATCATTGCACACGTGCTATCCCGGGATCTTTCCTAAGAATGGAATCCCGAATCAGTATTCGCTCAGGCTAACAAAGCCTTCCACCCTCCTTGGAGCGATTCATTGCACCAGACTCGTCCGGAATTATAACAGCTTTGACTGGCCACTGTAAGTCATTCTACAAACCAATTACACCTGCCACACGCCACTACGATGATGAGTGGATGGCGAATGGGTACCCATCAGAAGGTGGATGATTAGAGCCAGAAACTTCATTATTCCTCATGGTCAAAACCTAAGTAAGCAAGTATGGAGTGAATTTCTGCAAAAAGTTCGTGTGATTGGGTTGCATTAGTTGAATAGTGCAGGAATTTTTGCATGTCTTCCTTGACTGAATTGTTGAACCTCTAGGGAATTATCCAGAAGTTATTCCGTTGTTTAGCCTCATTCACACATCTTCTCAGACCCCTGCCTATTTAGTAGCTCTTCTTCAACCTGCATGTTTTTTGATGTCCATGCGTTGAATCCGATTCAAGGTCATGAACTCGGGATATGAACGCATCAGCTTCAATCAGGCAATGTTATCAGGCCTATTAGATTTTCATATCGTGTAGGTTGAAATAGTTATATAATGCTCTCCCAAGTTATGCTTTTTTATTGGGGGATTGGATTTTTCTCCATCGCAGTCCATTTTTTCTTTTCTTATGCTGCTTTTTTTTCTTTATGTTCTATTCTCGATTGTCGCCACTTTTTTATTTATGCATACTTTCTTTGTATTCTTTTGTTACATATACGTACATATGTATATCTTTATATGTGTCACTGCGCTGCGTAAAACGTCGCACTATCATTAGGTTCTGGGCGGTGGTAGTCTAGTGACAAGTGGCGCGCTTTCATACACGGTTACATGACTACTTGAACTTTCTCTGCATCTCTGACGGCAAGAGGCTAGAGCCCAGAGAAAAACACCCCGGGTGAAGCCTACGGCGGTGGTGGTGGGGGCCCCATTGGACAGGCAAGCACAACACGCAAAGACCACATCAAACGGGAGTGCGCCAGACGAGGGCAGAAAAATGACGCATCCGGCAAATTTAAAGGAACCGAGTTCAAGTAGTCCGTAGGCCTTTTCATACACACACGGTCACGTGCTCGAATTCTGGACCGAGATTCGTCTAGGCCAACCAAGATTTCCATTCTCTGGGGTCATCTAATGGGTTCCAGGCTCGTTTGGGAGGATGAACACATTGTGCTGTACATCGGCTGGCCATCGCAAGTCACTGGTAGGCCAGTAGGTCATATACGCATTAATGGGCCACTACGGTTCTGAATGGAACTCGAATGAGGAAGTGCATCAGAAAACGAGAAAATCAGCACCTCAAGACTTTACACACTTTTATGAAAAAATTTGCTCGTCCTCTGTCGCTTAGTTAGCATATATTACCAGCTGGATTACTTTCTTTGCAGGAGTCTTTGAAATAGAAGATGCAAGCTCAGTAAGATCTTTTCCTTGTTCCCTATACTCTCCCTGCCTTCGAGGATTGTATGATGATGCTGACAAAAAACTTAAAACTTCTTCATGTCCTATCCTTCGTTTTAGGCCAGTAAAATGTTTACTCTATGATAAACCGAGGCCTTTTCTACGCCTTTTAATAGAAACTTCGTCAAAGATTGATAAACTTTTGATTTCAGCATGCGTGAAGTTCTTTGGTACCTTGAGCCGTGTGTATCCGGACATCATCAACAGCTTCCCATCATTTGTTCCAGCCGTCATAGACATGGTTTGATATTATTTCTTTTAAGTTCCGAACTTTGCTCGAATTAGAAAACTGGCGTGGATTGGAAAAGAAAATGCTGGGAATTTGGGTTGCATAAGCCGTAGTGTTTATTCATCCGAATTTCTTGGTGACGTTGCGTATTGAGCCAATATAAACGTATTCTTTTTAATTGATCTTATTGTTAAAAGCCGAGTGAGTTAATGCTATCCAAACTACCTTATTATTCGGCTAAGTTTACCACCAGTCTATCTGAAACCATTTCTGAGGAAGCTAGTCACGCCTAATACTAGTTACAGAATAATTCTTGAGGAGGGATAAAAAATTGATAATCTAAACTATTTGAGCATGTCGTGTTGACTGTCATATTCATCCGTCATTGCGAAAAATAAGCTTTTCAAAATAATTGTGAAATGTTACATCCTATAGTACTCGTCAATGGTATTTGCTTAAGGTCCGGCATTTTGACATAGTTGATGCTTCACAGCGAGTATTGGCTTTTGATACTCTGGCACAAGTTGCGTACAAAGCTGAGGCGAAGCAAAATCTGCAGCGATTACTCGGTGATTATTTTTTTTTACTTTAACTATTTATTTATGGGAAACAGACTTATTTCGTAATGACTTGACGCGGCAACAAAAAAGAAGTGTCCTGGGCTGATAAAGCGTGTCATTAACATAGAACCATCTGAGTCATTTGTTTTCCGTACATATCTGTTTTGTGGGGCGTAGTCCAGCTAGTCAAACGACCAGCTGTGCCTATCGACTGGTCATGGGCCAGAAAGTGATGAATACTCAATGTGATTCGGGGGGGGGGGGTGGAATGGAAGGAACAGTAGTGAAGGGCGTAAGGTGCAGGTCGCTGGGATCATTAAACCTTCTTCAGTGGTAAGTCAAATCTTTAGCAGCCGTGACCCTACTAGTGTTTACCTTCCGTTTGCATCCTAAACGTATTCACTACCTCCAAACCAATTCGGGTCAACAGATCTCATGGAAACGCCCATAGAGGCGTTGACTGTGCTAGAACGTTTCACTTCGAGCTTGACATCGACATCTTTGCTTTTTGAATCTACTTCGGCTGTTCATACCTTTAAAGAGTCATTGAAAGTAGAGGGACAACTTCGCAGAAAAGGACAGTTCGTGATTATCACCCATACATTTGAGCAACCAAGCTATACGTATTGGGCCAGATGGGCATGGAAGTGAGCCGGTTGTGCAATAGGAACTAAAATGCATACGGTGTCGCGGGCAGTTTCTCATCCCTCAATGCCGCTATCCGCTGTTTACTTTTAGCTGTTACCATGTCGTTTTTTGGATTGTACCGCTTTTTTCCATGAATAATTAAAACCCGATCTTCAGGTGACCAAGGCGTATCGCGTGTGATGGAGGCTTTTGCTGCGTCTTTATCCAGTGGACCAATCGAACTTCGTGCCCGACATCTTGAAGCATTTGCGACTCTTTTTCAACATGGTTCGTACTTTTGTCTGGAGTAATCTTGAAAGCACCTACAGATGAGGTTTCGGTCAAGATTCGAATAATGGTCCCCAATCAGAGGAATAGTATCTTTCGATACATATTGGGACTAGGTTCACTAAAAACACTAAGTCCCTAAATAGATTAAAGCCATGAAGAAATGTGAAATCTTCAGTACTGACTTTAGATGATAGCTGCTGCGGTCTCAGAAGTTAAACCTAAGTTTCGAGAGCTTTATCTACGGTATGAATTCTTGTTCTCCACAGAACGTTCTACTTGAAAAGATAATTATACAACTGATGGTGTAGCTGGAGGGAAGTACCCCTACGTAGCAGTAGTATATGCTTATATATTTACTGGTCACAATAAGATAAAGAAGGGTGAGGAGGTAAAGACGTGATGGTAATGCGGCGAAAACGAAGTACTACTCATGCCAAATGAACGACGTGATGGGTTGGGATTTGGTTGCAATCGAACAACTGGTTATACAGGGTATACCGAAATTATGGATGCCCATTCATTGCGATCTGTTCTAAGCTTCTAAGCTGAGAATGACGGTGGAATGGGTTTCCACATATGCTTACATTATGTGCAACAGTAAGCTAACAAACAACAACCCATCAAATGCCTAGGGCGACGAGTTACGACATCGAAAACCTTGGAATACGCTTTGTTACTTGTTACCTTTAATCTTTAAGTAGACAAGATTAAGGTTTTATTGTTGTTCATTATAATACTCTTTTCGTGGTGTTTATTCAGTATATCTTTTACAGGCGACGATTCGCTGTTGTCACAATGGTTTTCTTACTTGGGTTCACCAATGCCATCTGTACTATTGAGCCTAGTCCAGAAACCCTTCCCTGATCTACGTTTGGCATCACTTCATGCCTTTGCTTCCCTGCTAGCACATCCTTTCGGCTTGCAAACGTTCCTCGGGCTGTCAGGGTTCGTTTAAAAACATAATTCTATTTTGTGAATTAAAGATTATAAGCAGGACTTTGTCGACAGCAAGCTGACTTCTGCAATTTTTACAGCTTCCTTGACTGGCTGTTGGACCAGTCTACTGAACATGAATGGGAAGCCGGCCGTCTGAAGGCGGACATCATCCGAGCCCTGATCGCCAGTAATTCATCACTTATCGACGCGCCTTTGAAATTACGATTGAAGGCATATTTCGTAGCACCAAAACGCGATCCCGAAGTGGAGATGATGTTGTAGTGACTGTGTTAGAGCGGTATTTTATTCCTTGTAATTGTTTCACAAATTCAGCCCTTTGCTTGTTGTTTACTACGATAGAATGGTTTGTTTCGAAATCGTCCCTAACTTGTGATTTCTCCTCCCTAACTCGTGACGCCCTGCCACATTAGTTGCGAATATGCAGAGTTCAGCAAACGCTTTACTTCTTTAGTGAGCGCGGTTGTGCACCAACGACTTATTCCAGTCCCAGGCCGTAGAGAACACTGTGAGGCTCATTGAATTCCCTTAACAACTAAAGATGTTTTAGAAACGGGAGCTTTTCAATAACCGGTGATCGCTAGGTAGAGTCATAGCCAAATTTTGTAATATCATTTTTCCTTGGATATTTTCGGCACAGCAGCATGAGAGTTGATATAGCTGTTGTCTACTATCGAGCCCACACATTTATAGAATTCTATTTGACCGTATCCTATTTCTCTGTCTTTTTCTTTCTCTTTCTCCTATACTATTATGTTTTCCTTATTGTTCCCCTTATTGTTCTTTGGCATTCTTTTATCATTTGTTTGCGCCATAACCTGTTCTGATGATTACCCAACGTTGTCGTGCTGCGGTGGTGCGGAAGTAGTGCAGTTGGACCGGCCTACTTCGACCTTTTCGTTAGAAACACTGATCAAATAGGCATAAAACGATGACGAAAAGAACCTTTCATTGCCACTGAGTAGCAATTATCACTAAGAGTTACATTCTGTCTTTATTAANATTAAGATTTCTTCCATCTTTTGATTCCTTTTTGATTTTTTCAAGGAATCAAAGCTGTTTAATCAGATTATAGTCTAAAAATTCCCCTGTTCTCACCTATCCATCATCTGTGGGTGATAGTTCCGAAGAGCACCTCTCGGCCGATAACTAATTAGCAAAATTCATAATTTTGGCAAAAAACGGGGTGAGCCAGTGAAAAAGTGTTGAAGTGCCTGCCTGACCTTGTACGATCCAATTGCCCGTCTTCTCCGTTTTGCTATGACGAAGCTAAGCGCGGCAAAGAAGAAAATTGTGTCCCTCCCATATAAGGTGGGTTCTGCACCCGAGTCCTCATAATTTCTCTAAAATAGAGATATTTTTTGAGCCTTTAGAGAATTAGTGAGGAATGTTTTCCACATTCGTTTTTTTTTGTGAACGGCAGTCGAGGTGTTGGAGCTAGGTGATCTCCTCGAAAGCGATCATGTCGATAGAATCTTTTGAATTGTAAATGACTTGTTCTACAGAATCTTAATCAAACATCGATCTACTAGCAGCATCAGTTTCTGTTAATGTAATGATCAGTAATTATGCCTGATACTTTAATTCGGGTCAAAAATAATAATAAAAATTTTTTTCGCAAGAATATTGAGTATACAGAGGCGAAGATTCGCATGATTGTTGCCTTGGCTTTGTTCGATAATCGTTGATTAGTTTTTACACATATTATTATTAGTTAATCAGTACTACTCAGCGATCAGTAAGTGGAAAACTGAATTCTTTGAGCCGTTTGGGATGAAGGTGAAATAGGGAGAACTCCATGAGAGGTAGGTTAGAACGAAATTTCGCGCTGCTGCTACGTCAACACTATAGGTTCCCACATGCTGAAGTGGCAGCTTCGAAAGCTTACCAACCAGCTTTTACCATGACTCTCCCTCATTGGTGTGCGGTGGGTTGGAATTTTTGAGGTTGCTCTGGCTAGTTAAAGAACAAAGGGCCAGAGGAGAAGGATGGGATTGACGGAAAACACGATAAAGTACAATTTTGTCAAACAACTTTTGCGTTACTTTCATTCGCCCCTTTTCCTCCTCAAGACAGAATTACCTAGGAAAAAAAATGGGTTGCTGGTCGTATGTTCGCTATTTCCTATGACTATCAGGAGAAAAAAGTTTAAGTGAAAGCGTAGTAGAGAAGGTGGGTGTACTCCTACGCCAAGTTTAGCAGGTAACAATTTCAACGCTGGATTATGTTTCATTTCTGGCAAATAGCTGTTCACAACTAGTTTTTCATCTGATATTGTGATCATCTTTTGTCGGTCAACTTCCCAGAAACGAGGTGGGATGCGCTTTGTTCATTCGTTCACTGTTGGGTATGTGAGGGGTTGTTGGTTCAAACAGGGAACCCTTCTGTTTTTCGTACCCCAGTGTGGTGAACGGTGAGTCACTTTACCACATCCCGCTCAGAAGAAGCGCCTGCCACCATAAGTTTCTCTTCACGACGAGAATCCTTATCGATCGCGGAGGACTGCAAGCAGAGAAACACGGTGCCATCCCGGGTGGCTATCAGTAAATGCCATCTGAAAGTCTGAAGCGTGTAGGGCTGAGAGCATTTTCTTTGCCTATTGATTCAACAGCTCTGTACTATTACTAACTTCTGGTTTAATCATGTTTGATTTACCTTCAGTCTTGTTACTGCAACACAGCATTAGAGGTGCATTCATGAAATGTAGATGAACAAGTAAGGAGCTCTACCGACTACGAGTATTACCCCGCGACAATTTGTGAATGTAGAAGATTTTATAGTTTAGCCATTCCGAATGGTGATAAGGGTCTTGGGCTGATATGAGTCGTGTAATCCGGAAATAATGCGTATGTGGAATTCAGTGCGACCCTCATTCACACTGCAAATCTTTTTTCCTCGCCAAGTGGGAATGCTGATTAAGAATTGCACCAGATAATTCGCATTGAAGCGGTAACAAGGACTATAAACCAGTTTACAGCATTAAGTTCTAAGAATTGCTCAAGTTCTTCCGTGATCAGGAGGGTTGCAATCAAACCTTGTGGTTTACACAGAGTTTCATCGAAACGACATGCTTCCTTCTACGTCAACCGCTGCAAATGTGCCTGACGAAGTGGTGAGTTGCCTTCACTGTCAGTCACTTCAAATGCTCTTATTGTTGACTTTAAGATTGTAAGAGATGCGGCCTTGTGTCTGAGAAGCTTCTGTGGTGAAAGGCAATCGATACCGTACAGCAAATTCTGTGAACGTTTCAAAAAGGTTATTGGTTATTCGCTAAAGGTGAGTGTTCACTTAAGTTTCTGTATGATGATGGGGGAATACAGGTACAGAGGTACAAGTAACTCAAGTGGTGGTGAGGGTGGTGAGTAGGGGAGGAAAGGGGGAAGTTGATTTTCGAGGCCGCTGAACTGAATGGAAATGATTAACTCCTTTTCGAAACACTGTTGCGATGAATTTTGTAGGGGATTAGGGCGTTATACTTACCGCTATGGTCAAGGCCAAAGGTGAAAATAGTTGTAAGAAGCGGTTCGCTGAGAAAGCCTTGACACAAATTGTATTTGAGAAAGACTAGTTTTGCAGGAGCATTTGTTGAAGTGCAAGTTCACGTTTGCGGATTTAATCGAACACATAGCAGCGACCACTCGAACGAAATGTCATTACGATGCTGAACACAAAATGATTCAGCTTTTGTCAGGACAGGTTCGCATTTTTCGCAAGTCTCTGAAATGTGGCAGTTGCCTTCTTTCAACTCTTTCCTTTATTCAAGAAGATATACATGACATTGTCAAATCGCCTAGATAGACCGTTGTAAGGCTCGAAAGTTGAATCGTTTGCAAGCCACACCCAAAGGCGGACGAGTTTTGATGGCGTGTAGGGTCTGCACCATTCCCGAGGGACACCCACGGTGGAAATTCCAAGAACTAGTCGTGACTCCTGATGGTGGAGGGAATTTTTGGACATTCTGGCTTGATGTAGTCAGCTCTTTACGCGTCGCTACCTTTGAAATTTTGTTCAAATACCTCTTCCATGCTATTTCCGTCGTCACAATCACACACAATGTACATGATCGATTTTCACAATTTCGAAAGCTTCTTTCCGAAGTTGATAGATTTCCTCGCTTCCTTCGCTACCGACCCCGACACTTCGGGTTTTCAACCTAAAAAGTGTGCCCCCAATCAGCCTAAATATATCGTAAACTCTTTCTATAAGCGTATTTTGTGGCACCGAGTCCAGCAGCCCCACCACTTTAACTCTAAAAAAAGTACACTCTGTATAAGTGGTGGGATCGGAAGATGTTCCTAGTGACTAGATGATTTGTGCTGCAAAAATCAGAAAGTAAATTTTAACAATCCTACAGAATATGTGATTGTTTCAATGGAAAAACTAATTCTGGGTAGAAACGGAGGGGAGGGTGGGAAGAGCGGCCTTGAATTAAGAATTAGAATTAGAAAGACAACAGACGGGCTGTGGGAAAAACAGGATTGGGATAATTATTAGTGATAAATGGAAAAAANAAAAAAGGAGCCTTATTATTAAAAGAATATCAGTTCCTCACATTCCATTCATTCGTTTAATCTATGCGCCTTTGACATAGTACTGGCGTAAGAAAATTGTTTGGTGAACTTTCAGCCTCCTAATGAGAGCAGATCATTTTCGATCTTCAATCCTCTTGGTGCATATCAATCATCGCAAATCGTTGGCCCACTCATTCCTCGGTATCCGTTTCCACTTCATTTGGATCCTCGGTTACCAGGTAGGTATTTTTATAATGTCAAGAAATATGTTGAAGGTGGACAGCTGTTGTGAAGAATGTATCTCATACACGGAGCAGCTAGGAGGGAGATATTTGAAGTTCTTGCCATTAGTCGCTGCTTAGGAATTAGGATAAAAGTTGAAGTTTTTGTTTGGAAAGCGCCTACACATTCGATTTTTGTTCAGAACTCATTGTAGGTATTAAATGTCTATCCGGCCTACACAATGACTTGCAATTGCCAGTAGATGTAGCTTCCAGTACTTTTGCCTTATTTGAATAATAGCATAAATAGAAAGGGAATCAAAAAATACAAGTTGAATACAACTATACAATATAGACTATTTCGCTGTTACACTTCTCCCGACTACAAAAATTTATTATATGACGGCTTTTGATAAAGATTAACCATATTTCGATTTTTTCGAGCTCCAATTTGGTGTTTTTTTCCTCGCCAGTCATGAAGCGAATGCTTTGATACGAATGGCGAGATAGTAGGTGATGAGTCCGGCTTGCAACAAAACTTGAACTTCTGCTTTCCTTTGCAGCACATTATTTGTCCTTTACTGGGCTATGAGTTCATCTTCACACAGCTTTCAGCTTCTTTTGTGAAACAAGTAAGTGAGTCATTATCATAGCCAGGAAGAAGTGAGGAATTTCGATCGTTATATGATTGAATACAGAGTACACAGAGTAAAAAAAAAANTCCGAGGCGGCTTATTGGTACCACACTCGTCTCAGAGAATGAATGCATTGACTATTAGTGTTCCAAAGTTATAGGCGCTAAAATTCAGAATTTCCCAAGATTAAAGTAATTTATCAAATTCACTTCACTCGTTATCAATTAGTTGTATAAGAAGNTTTTTTTCCTCGCCAGTCATGAAGCGAATGCTTTGATACGAATGGCGAGATAGTAGGTGATGAGTCCGGCTTGCAACAAAACTTGAACTTCTGCTTTCCTTTGCAGCACATTATTTGTCCTTTACTGGGCTATGAGTTCATCTTCACACAGCTTTCAGCTTCTTTTGTGAAACAAGTAAGTGAGTCATTATCATAGCCAGGAAGAAGTGAGGAATTTCGATCGTTATATGATTGAATACAGAGTACACAGAGTAAAAAAAAAACTAGTGTGTGTATCGTCGTAGTTCTGTCCATAATATAGCAACTCTGGGTGGGAGTTGTGAAGTGCCACGTGGCGTCCTACACGACCTGGGATCAAATCATTGAGAAATACCCGTCCAGGACAAAATAATGCATCCATCCGAGGCGGCTTATTGGTACCACACTCGTCTCAGAGAATGAATGCATTGACTATTAGTGTTCCAAAGTTATAGGCGCTAAAATTCAGAATTCCCAAGATTAAAGTAATTTATCTAATTCACTTCACTCGTTATCAATTAGTTGTATTAGAAGGTTTCCTTGCAATATGTTTGGTTACTGAAGTCAAACTCCTGACATCTTTTAGATGACCGAGGCTCATTCAATGTCACTTTCAATCATTAGCATGCGAGAGGCTGAAAGGAATTCCTTGTAATTCCTATCATATCTGCACAGAAGGCAAGAAGATGTAATTTAAGACTAATTAGGAAGGGATATGAACAGTCTTTTTGCAGGACTATTAAAATGGTCTGTTTGCGAGCCGATCGTGATCCTAGGTAGTCCATCAAGAAGAGGGCAGAGAGCAGGGCTTAATGAGCTCGTCTTTGGGGTGAATTGTCAAGGGGAAGCTTTGTTGCGATTCTAATCTTATGCAGAGATGCCTTTCCAAGTTCAACATACAGCGTGGTGTCAAAAAATGCAGAAAGGAACCAATCCAGTAGGGACACGAGTAAAGACACGCAACTCTTTAACGTTCTCTCTAGCTAAGAAATTTTTACGAAAGAACCATTCTTCAAGAAAAAAACGATCCCATCCTGGCTATAAGCATCGAACGTGCAATCTCTCACAGAAAAGTGCCATGAGAACAGCACAGTAATTTTTTTGAGTAAGCCACTGGCATGGGTGTGACGCCGTTCCTTTGGTCGGTGCTCGGTCGGTAGATTAGTTAAAGAACTGTTCTCAAAGGACATACTGATGGGCTCCTCCCAGCAGGACGATTTTCTAGCCCACAGAGCCACGTCCGGGGCGCTAATTGCCATACTTCACTGGCAAAGCGAGATAGCCATCCTGTTCTCCAGTTCTGGAATCATTTGGCTCCTTTGTATATTCTCTGGTTAGGAGAGGATCTGTCGGGTTTGCAGCCTCAATTAGGAGTCCTAGAAAGCAATACTCAGGAAAGGCCGGAGAAATGGAAGGGATACCTGCGTGCAACATACGAGGAGTTCGTGAACGAACTTTTGGCTTCCATCCTTGCTCATGGGAAATATTTCGAAATATGATTGTAACAGCACAAGACGCTAGCAGATATGCGTAACTTTCCATCGTGACAGTGTATTCGAAGATTCTCAGCTGAGAATCTTCGAACACATTGTTATGAATTGGTGCCCATAATTTTGGAATATCCTGTATATATGGGCTGGCCACGCAATTCTTTCCATAGACCCCTGAAACGGAATTGATCAGCACCATAAGGCTCTATCTGAGCATGCGCATGCTGTAATCATTCAACCTTGTTATAGAGAATCAGAACACTCTTCGTTGAACTTGTTCAGACTTTGATTCAGACGTTGTAGCGGCTTCCTCTAGCCGTGCTGTCAACGAAGACATTGTTCCCATGAATTCAATGGAGCATATTCGCCTAGAGGTAGGAATCTCTTGACTTTGTTTTACTGTTCCGCTTCTAATAGTTATAATCATGATTTTGTGTTTTGTTTGATTGCTGGGACTGATTCGCCTTATCTGTGGATAACTGTAGGAATTGTTATGTTCTGCAAAGTCTGTTAGAAGCAGAAGGGAAGTATCTATGGTACAGGAGGGGGGGGGGGGGGGGGGGNAGAGCTCTTCGCGCACGCAGTATCGTTTCAGTACTTTTCTGTTGAGGTGGACCAAATAAGTTTGCAGTAGTCCACGGCTTCACCATGAACAGAGCAAATCTCTTTACTATGGCAGAAAAGCCTTTTTGAGATCGAGAATTACCCTCATAGGTCTACAGTTTACTCGCCAAACGTTCAAAATAAGAATAACTTTATCTTTTTCGATCCTAGAGAAGCAATCCTTCTGTAAACATGCATAGTTGGACATTCCTTTACTTATTCTACTGATATAATAAGTTCTTATTTCTTGCGTTATGATTGTAGGCATGATGTTTTAGCGCTTTTTGCCCGTTGACCTCATTTCATTGACGCGTGAATCGCACACCCCGTTGGCTGGCCTCTGTTGACCGGGAATTGCGATTGTTTGTACGGTAACATTCATCAGATCTTGTCTAGAATCGTGGACTTGTCAACATCAAAAATACTGGCCTGTACAGAAGTGACGGCGATGTGGTCAACGGAGGCCAGCCAACTGAAGAAGGCGTTGACATAGTCGCTCATTCTAAAAATGTAAGTTGTAGTAGTTCTTTTATGCAGCTGAAAACTCATTTTTATCTTTCCATGTTCTCTATTCATGTATTTTCTGCTTGATTGAGCCAATCCAATTTTGCGCTGCTCTAGTCTGTCCTATCTAGACTTGCAGGGCACCGAGTAGATCTCCTGTATTCACATCTCAAGAATCTTTTCCTCTTAAAAACGTATTAGTTAGAAATTTTGCCGAACTAATAGATTTTAAGCGACAGCTCATTCGAAACCGGCTCTACGATAGACTGTGCGTGAAAAAGTAAACAGTGTGGAAGAGGGAGGCCAAGAGAATGGCATCGTTTGGAGGTCGGGCCACCCCCCAAGCACGGGGGGTCATGCTGATCTACCCACGGGCGGGAGGCAACCCAGGTGGGTACGGTAACTAATTGAGGTCTGTGGCCTACCCGCTATGCGAGATGATGAGTGAGGGGAAGGGGGGAAAGGAGCCTCACAAAACTCGTCCGCTGCACGCAGCCTCCAGCCTCCTCCACCGCAGTTCAGCCGCCACCACATCCAGCCGCCACCATCCACGACTCCAGAGCCGCCGCCAGCCACGACTCCAGTGCCGCCTACGTTGAGCAGCGAGCAACAGCCACAGTTCGCGCAGCCGCCACCCACAATTCAGCACATTGCCGGTATTTGATTGTTTGTTGTTTTTTGTGTTGCCGTTTTTAGATAAAGTTTCTGAAAACAGCCGTGTCCTTGGCAGTAAAGGAGTCAACAAAGTAAGCCAGTGACCGCCCTAGTCGCTGGTCGTCCGAACGAATTTAAGGAACGTTATCAACTTTTACTGCTGAACACGGCAGAAGTAGGTAGCGGAAAAGCATCAGAATTTTTCTGGTCGCTACAGTCAGCCCCACTGCTCACCGAAGAAGAAAGGTGTCAGTAGGCTGAGAAAGGAGTGTGAAGAAGGAACACTCAAAAGGAGGATATGGTAAGAAGATATAGGATTACCATTGAAAGCATGGTTGTCTGCAGCGAGCAACGAGCAACAATGCAAAAAGATATGGTCGACGAAGACATCAATGAGGTATTGATGGAGGAGCAGCAGGACGCACCGCCAGAGGTCCCAAAGGTATTCCCATGGATAGCTGTGGAAACTGGTCAGACTGTGTGAAGGTAGTGCGAGAAGCGAGACAAAGAGCACTTTCGATGGTAGTCAAAGCAAAAGTGGCTAAGGGAGTGAAAAGTAGCCTAGAGAAAGAGTGGGCTTTAGTAGGGGAGGCAATCGAAAAACTTGTGAATGAGATAGTTCATATTCCTGCAGTCCCGCAGGAGTCAATAAAGGGAATTGCAGACACTCTCACACAGAGAGGAATAGAGTCTGTGGAATAGTGGGAAGAGTATATAAAAACGGTGGAGAAGGATGGAGAGCTGATAAGCGAGCTGTGCGAAATGTTTGAAACACACACATTCCAGCTCAAACACGCGATCGAAGAAAGATGCAGGAACCCACACAGTGAGGACGATCCTAGTGCGAAAAGGGGTAAGCAAGTAAAATACGAGTATGCACTTCAAACCATGAGTACTGGTTCAAGAAACACCGCGTTCCAGGAGACAGCCTGTCCGACTGGTCCGATATCTGCATGCACTTGGCAGAAACATGGAACGACCCAAAGATCGTTTGTGGCACACGTGGACACAGGTACGAATACAAATGTGCGTTTGGTAAATTGCCCTAGGGCCATGACATGTGCTGATCCGGGAGTCTATAAAAGGTCGAGAGGTAAAAACTTCCAAGAGTTTCTAAGGAAGTTCAAGCGAAAATATGGAGGTGTTATGTCTCGTGAGGAAACATTGTTTGATATATTGGGAGATGACCATTTGGCAGGGAGGGCCAAAAACATATTTGCCTCACTGCCAAGCACAGTAAAGGAAGGAGGTCTGGAAGAGTGGCCAGGGAGATGGCGAGGTTACTAGCATGCAGCCCAACAGCGAGTAAAATGAGAGCGCTAGCCGAGTTGAAAAACCCAAGAATAAGGCTTGGTCAAGAGGTTGCAGATTTCTGCGCAGTCCTAGAGAAATTAGGCAAGTGAGCGTATCCAGAGAGAGCACCGGAAAATAGGTCAATGGCAAACGCTCCAATTCTTCTGGATAATTGGGCGATTGGCCAGAACACGTCCAATTGATGGGAGCCCTTCGCAGGGTAGAAGCCAATAAAGCGTACGAGGAGATAAAGCAGTTAGCACTTAGTATAGAGCAGGCAAAGGTGGTTTGGGAGCCAACAGAAAGAGTCCACTATCTTGGAGAACTAGGTACACACAGTATCAAAGTGGCAGGGAACAAAAGCCAACGGTTTCCACGGTAGGGAGGTCGTTGAATTTCGATCGTATGGGAGATGAGAGGCCAGAGTCTCGCCCAATAAACAGGATCAATTTCCCNCCCAGCCCTGATCGTCCAAAGCGAGAAAAGGAGAGTCAGAAAGAGCAGAGCAAAAAGTGCTATCACTGCTCAAGATTCGGACATTTTGCGAGAGAGTGCCCTACAAGAGCAGTTAGAGTGAACAGGACGGCCCAGAGGAATGTTCAGGTTAGAGGCAAAGAAACAAAAATGTCAAAAATGTCATCAATTGTAGAAGGAGGACATAGCCTGGGAATAGCGACCCGAGAAGAAGACACGGGAGTGAGTGATCCCATTGGCACCCAAATGGTGATGGAAATAAACCTTGGAGAGAGCTATAAGGCTTAGACATAGGGTAAATGATCAGTATAATCCCGATAGGAGTACTTGCAAAAGCACAAGAGAGGGGATTTGACGTCGATACCATGTCAGTAGTGCAAAAGCCAAGCTTAGACCGGTCTTTGACGCCTCAAACAACAGAATGAATTTTGAGGGCGCAGTATATATTCAAGTGGACACAAAGAGCGGGCATTCAGGGTTAATACCGTTCCATACTAGCCCCACAAAAGAAGCCGAGGTAATAATAGGAACTAATGCGTTAAGGAGACTAGGAGTAGAAGTGTCAATGAATAGAGAGTGTAAACCAAAGGAAGAATCAAATGAAGCAAATAGAGGAAATCATGTGGTCGTGATGACACGTCTTTACATACCACCAGAAACGTGAGCCTGGTCCCAGTACAATGCGAAGGTGACTTAGGGAATGATAAGGAAAGGGTTATATGGCCTTGTAAGCGAGGAGTGAAACAAAGAGTATATTTGATCAAGGATCGAGAGACCACGATTTAACCTGGCACAGATCCGTTAATTTTGAAGGAGGGGGAAAACTTCGGACATTGGGAAACGGATAAGTTTCAAGAACAGTGGGAAGACCTAAATCCTCTCTGTCGGACGAGGTGAAACGTAAAGTATCAGGAAATGAGAGAATGCAAAAATTGCTGCTAAAAAGGTGCTGAACAAATCATATCTTTCATCTTCTGGAATGTTTCTTGTTCTCCTTTTCCCAGGTGAAGAAAAAAGACGCCTGCTTGAGAAGCCTAAGCAAAATTTTCTGTAGAAGGAAGCCAGGTCCAAGAAGCTTCGGAGTTGCTTGNCTCCGTATCCATGTGCACCCCGTCTCACTCGATAACATACCCTAGAAAAGCTACCTTACTCTCTAGTAAATGACGCTTCCGCGCTTTCAACCGCAATCCTGCTTTTGTCAACCTTTGAAATTCTTCTTCCAAACGGTGAGGATGCCTTTGTTTGGACGTTGTGCAGACAACTATACAATCGATGTAACGGAAAACTTCACAGCCAGGAAGGTCTCCGAAGACAGTATTCATCAACCTTTGAAACCTGGCGGACTAGTGCTCAGTCCAAATGGTATTATCCTAAATTGGTACAGCCTTCTGACGTGGCAAATGCTGATTTTTCCTAGGCGTCATTCGCTAGAGGAATTTGCCAATATCTGCTGCACATATCAACGTTGATAAGAATCGTTTTCCTGTTAAACTTGAAGGAGCGCTTCTGTACTTGGCAGTGGATACGCATCCAATTTGTTCTTTTTGTTAAGTACTCTATAGTCCACACATAGCCGAATCGAACCGCCCTTCTTTTCAACGAGGACTATGGGAAAAGCCCACTCTGATTTACTATGTTATATGACCTTCTTTTGTAGCAAATCTTTTAGCAGCTCTTTGAGTTTCGGTCTTAGATGCAGTGGAACTGGCCTCGCCTTCATTTTGATAGGTGCGCAGTCCCCCGTATCGATGGTCATTTTGACTAAGTTTGTCTGAGTCAATCCTCGATCCAAGATTGAGAAAGCTTCTTGGTATTTCTTCAGAAGCGTCTTTACTTCTATGCAGTCCTCGGGTTTCCGTGTTTGCTGACAGTAACTCTTCCAATTTTTGCAGTCTCATTTCCTGATAGTTCACGATCAACCTCGTCAGATAGAAGGAGATTTAGGTCTCCCCACTGTTCTTGCCACTTATCCGTTTCCCAATGTCCGAAGTTTTCCCCCTCCTTCAAAATCAGTAGATCTGTGCCAGTGTTATTTATGGAATCGTGGTCTCTCGATCCTTGATCAAATATACTCCTGGTTTCACTCCTCCTTGCAAGGCCATATAACCCTTTCCTTATCATTCCCCGAGTCCTCAAGCAGCCAGATGTGGAGGCCGCGAGAAACGGTACCAAACCTTTCTGTATATGCACGGCTACATCGACATACGGTTTGGGAGCAGTGCTATCTAAGAGGGTGAAGACAAGCAAATTCATCCGATTCTCTTCGCATCCAAAAGCTTGAGCAAAGCCGAAAGAAGATATCATGAAACAGATTTGGAGGCCTTTGCGGTGGTCTTTGCAGTATGGCGTTTCCATATGTTTATATATAGTCTACCTACCATCGTTATGACGGAATACCAGCCTCTAACTGCACTTTTCAAGCGTACTAATATGTCACCACGAATTCTGAGATGGTTACTCGAACTGCAAAGGTATAATCTCGAGCTTCGCTACGTAAAGGGAAAGACAAACGTGGTGCAGATGCCCTCAGCAGGGCGTTTCTACAGCAATGGAGTTGGAGTCGCTCGAGGGAGAAAATGAAGCTGCAGTGAATGCGGCTACAGTCGAAGAATAATCAGAATGGATAAAAATAATCTAATTATGATTTTATAATTTTGAAAAATTTTGATAATTTGATGATGATAACATGATAATTTTGAAAAGTATCCAAACAAGTGTACTGGCCAAAGATGGCGCAGGATATCCATAAATGGACGCGTCAAAGTCAAATGTGCTTTGTACACAATCCGCGAGAAAAGTTGGTTCCACCTCTAAAGCCAATTGCAACTTTGAGACCCTACGAGTTTATAGGAATAGATTTACTGGAATTTGGCCAAACGTCAAAAGGGAATAGATATGCAATAGCCATGATTGATCATTTCACGAAGTATGCCGCAGAGATCCAGCACCGGATAAATCCGCAGAAACAATAGCAAGAACGCTTTCATTAGATGGAATGCGGGGGGTTGCAGATGGCCCCAAACAATATTATCGGGTAAGGGATATGAATTTGAAAACCAGGTGATGAATGAGGTCATGGAAATAACGAACATCAATCACGTCACCACAAAAGTGTATAACCCTAGAGAGAATGGACTAACAGAAAGGTTGAACAGAACAATCGTTGCCATGTTACGCAAAAGCACAGTTGTTTCAACAGAGTGGGATACAAGGTTACCCTTCTGTATGATGGCGTACAATATGATTCCTCATCGCGCAGCCGGGGAAAGCCCATATTTTCTTCTGCATGGGATTGATCCGGTATTCCCGTCAGGAATCATACAAACGCAGGTATAAGTCGATACATGGGGGACAAGTCGCCAAGTGAATATAAAACCGAAATACTTCAAGCTATAGCAGAGGTACACGAACGTGTGAGAGAACATAACGAGCGCGTAAGAGAGAAAATGAAAAAGACAATGACAAAGCAAATAAGGTAAAAGATAAGACATACCCGGATGTAGGAGAAAGAGTGTGTGATCGCCGAATGAGAAAGCGATGAGAACACATCCAAAGTTAGCAGGTGACTGGGCAGGACCGTGTAGGGTCATTGAAGTAAGCGATAACTCAGCACTGGTAGTAAGAATCGGTCAGAATAGAGAACCCTTTCGAATTCCGACTCACTAAGAAGCGTTCAAAGAAATTNCGGACGAGCCTAGGGAAACAGCACATGTCAGAGGTCGCAAGGGCAGACAGCCAAAGGGGAAAGTACGGAAAGCTTATAGTGACTGTTTCAGAGGTGCAGTGCTTCTGAGCCCCGCAGACAAGGGCCACCTGCAATTTCAATGTGTGGACGACTGTTTCTCAAAGACGACGCTGAACGACATCGAAGGAATACAGTTTCCGGGAGCGTACGGAAAGCAGCCGTTCGAAGACCCATGGACCGCGTGGAAAACTGCATCGATTTTTATACGAAAGGAGCTTAGCACGATGCAGAAAGTGGAGTTGGTCAGGAATCGGGCAGTCTCTTTGGATATTGAAGCGTTGAGGAAGGTGCTGATGGTTGCTTATTCTGTCTGCACGGAGTGGACGGAATTTATTTGCACCACGAAGAGCATCGCGAAACATGAGCCAATCGAGCAGAACTGCATAATCGAGTTTTATAGGGTCGCATTTGAGGATTTAAAGAAGGAACTGCAGCAGGATGAGAGGGAAGCTAGGAGTTCGAGAAAAGGACCCACGGGTTTTGCAGCACCAGAAGGAGCTCTTCTGATGGAACAAAATGACTCGAAGGGAGGCTTGACCACGAAGGTCGTGCCGACATACAAGCAACTCAGGAATACTCTCCAAGATTGGACGACATTTGCGATATGGGTCATCGTTTACCCATTGGAGAGTAGAGGAGATAAGAAAATCATATGTGATATACTAAGGATAGCAAAAAGCCATTTGGAAAATGGAGGAAAAATCGTAACGGCTTGGAGCCCATTGACGGCAAAAAAAGAAAAGGAGTGGCGAATTATGATGAATTTCTGGAGAATGCTGGACGAAATACTTGTAAAAATGGGAGGAGAGGATCAGGTTGTGACCACGTCCAACAGTCGGATCATGGACGGGAAAATATACATGGAAGCAGGCAGCCCTGAAGCTTCAGCAAATTTCCACAATCCGTACTTGGGAGTCGGTGCGGCAAAGACATTGTACCTATCGGTACGAGAAAGAGCCAAAGGGATCAAGCTCCCTGAGATAGAACAGTCGTCTGGGACGGCGACTACGCGGATGGGAGGCATGTGGAATAGGGAGGCCAAGAGAAAGGCACCGTCCAGAGGCGGGCCACCCTCCAAGCGCGGGGGGTCATGCTGATCTCCCTACAAGCGAAAGGCAACTCCAGGTGGTACAATAACTAATGAGGTCAGTGGCCTACCCGTTCGAGGCATGATCCACCTGATATATAAGTGGGGTGATAGTAGCCTCCAGACTCGTGCGCCGAGCAGCCTCCAGACTCTTTGACCGAACAGCCACCAGCCTCCTTTGCCACCACAGTTCAGCCGCCACCATCCATGACTCCAGAGCCGCTACCAGCCGCGACTCCAGTGCCGCCACCGTCGAGCAGCAATCAGCCACAGCTCGCGCAGCCGCGACCCACAGTTCAGCACATTGCCGGTGTTTGATTGTTTGTTGTTTTTTTGTGTTGCCGTTTTCAGATAAAGTTCCTAAAACCAGCCGTTTCGTGTCGCAGCAGAGTTGTCAGCATAGTCCCTAATCCAGTGACCACCCTAGCCACTGGTCGTACAATATTGTGGTCGCACCCGTCAATAATTTTTCCTGGCTTAGACATCTGCTTACTGCGTTTGGCGTTTCCGCCTTGCTTATGTTTTATGTATACTTTCATATATTGCCACCTTACGTCGTTTTCTACAAGAAGTTCCTTACCAGCAATGAAATTCGTCTACCTAGAATTCGCCACAATTGGATAGAGGAATTCATTCAACCTAATCCCCATTAACGTTGTTAATTGATTAATGTTCTGCTAGACTCGCACTACTGACCCTTGCCCAAGTACGCTTTACGTAGTCAACTATATATAATATGATATGATATGTAGCAGTGTAACTTGGGAAAGCTGCTCCTGAGTTTGCAAGACACTCGTCATTATCAATTTGTTCGACGACGCGTCACGTCTTCCAAATCTTGAAGGGATGAGAACAACTCGTAGCCACCGCTGGAGCTTGAAACGGTTTTCTCTCATAGTCGAGTTTCAAGGAGTAACTTACTAAAGGTACCCTCCTTTTCGATTTTAACCCATTGACGAAAATGCAGCCCAAAGTGGACGCACCGTTTCGGCTGTGTGGGACGGTGCAGTCCATATATGGGCTACAAGTGTTTTTTTTTTGTTCATTTATGTTTCCACTGCTTACTGATCTTTCTTCGGGGAACATTAAATCGTGCCTAAATGAAACTACATACTGGTCCCAGGAAATATTCTCATTTTGCAATTTACGGGAGTTCTCTTGAAGGAGTACATTAATGTGGTGAATCCTTCGTTCGTTGGCAACTTCAGAAAATGAGACATTTTGAAAAGACGGTCGTCATTAGCATTTTCACTGTTATCGACCAAATGCAAAGCTCGTAAAAGATCCCCGAAACGATTTCTCGTAATGTTTGAACTCATAATTGAATGACCACTAGTTTCGCTAATGACATTTCAGTTCGGGAATTCAGAGAGAATCAAAAATACTTTAATTTGAATTCAAAAATTGCTCTTGCTGGACCATGTAGTCCACAAGTGGGCTGCAGTCGCAATGGACGAAAAGCGCGCTGGTCCCTAACGGCGTTTTCCCCGCCAAACGTGATTGTCGTCAATAGGTTAATGCTATGAGTTTGATGATTGGTTAGTCATATCCTATTCATGCGTAAACTCTGCTCAACCTCCTTGAATCTTGCGATACCGCCGATATTCACTTACTAACAGTCCCTAATGGAAGTCCAAGGTTCTGAGGTCCCGTGGTGTGAAACGGACTCGTTTTTAGATTCGCCAGCGCATTCGGCTTCATTCAGGATGGCGGGGCGTTTTAACCATCTGACGACAATGGCGCTTGATGTCGGATGCCATGCCACCAGGATTTTTTGTTTCTTGCACGTTTACAGCTTATTTGATACGAATTTCCTTATTTATTGACAAACTTGGTAGTATTTGTATTCAACATGGCTCACATGCATGTTTTGTAGAATTTATTACGAACATACAGAGCCCATATGGCACTACTGAAGATATCAAGAGATTTTCGCACGATTTGTGCACGTCTTGGATGCACTAAGTATTGCGGCTTGCATTTTTTCTTGGCATGCGCTTTAGCATATTGACGTTAACTAAATCGTTTGCCATTTTGTTGTAACGACTTTCACACTTTCTTCGTCCATTTGTGTCTGCCACTGATCTACAACTAGATTTCGTTTTTTTCTATGACCTGTTCTGTTTCTTCCATTAAAGTCCATCAGTATCTCAGCAGCTGCATTTTTGAACTCTTTAAACTCCGTCCTGCTGGTATGATTGTAGAGCATCCCTCCATCCTGCTGGTATGATTGCAGAGCATCCCTCCATCCTGCTGGTATGATTCTAAAGCATCCAGGCCTTAATAGGAGCAGTCGGGGTAAACAGTTGGAAGAAAATTCTTACCTTCTACTTCTTAGTTCTGTCTTACACAATTATGTAGAATTACAAGGCCATTCGATCACTATGGTCTACAATACTTTTTAACTTTTTACAATCTTTCACAACTACAGGATAACGTTGGCGTCACATGATCCTTCGTGTCTTGTCGAGAAAATTCAGGTCTTTCGTTTGTCTCTCCACTTCGGGAGTAGCACCCTACGCTTGTTTCTCTGGAAATAGATAACGCTTTTTTACGGCTCCTCCATATTCACAGCGAATGAAATTCCTTTGCAGCACTTTCTGATGGTTCCGATCACATTTGTTTCCGTACAAGCAAAGAGTCCGCTTGAAGAACCCAGACTATATAAAAATGTTAGGGGAGAGGATTCAGATAATTTATATGCAGTTCGATCTTGAAGTTGATGATTGTAAAGCGAGCTATTTGGAAACTAATACATTTTTGGATCTGTGGTCCTGTTTAAGTCATGGAGATAGCCACTTGCTAACTATCAATAATTAATAAGCTTCTCATAACGGATTTTACCTCTACTCAAATTTAGGGAAAACCCTCGTTAATGTCGCACAATTTTACGGAGCAAATGTGCACAATATTTGAGGAACTGGCAGTTAACCCCCCAGGCGGAGCGGAGGAGAAACAAGATAACAACTTTCATCCTGAGGTGCGATCATCACGATTATCGTGTAAATGAGTGAGTGAGCGATAGCAGTTCAGCCAGTGTGGTATGGAATGATTAGTGCATCGGTACAAGTACGAATGCATACATCCTATAATAACCATCATTGAAGGTGCTTCTCGTTATACACAATACATGTTATACTTGCATACACTACGTAGTATTGAAATGAAGTGATTTGTTTAGAAGGAAGTTTCATAGCTGCAAAACATCTTGCATAAAATAGAGGTATGCGAAATTATAGTATGCGCTTTGACATCTAGTGTGTGAAGTGAGATGTCATTATTTTTTCGTCATTATTATTTATCTTCGCTGTTCTTTGTGAGGCAGGAGGTTTTTAGATTGTAAGATGGAATTTATGCAAAGTAGAAAGGAAAAGAGCTTTTGCTGTGAACAAAAAGGATATAAATCCCACTAATATACAAAAAATCTTGGCTTTGTGAGAGCAAAAGCTGATCAGCTTCGTTGTGATCAGCCTTCTTAAAGTATTTTACTTTTTGCTATGGAAGGTTGATGCATGCCAAACATCAGAATCAAGAGCTTTCCAAGGAATTTGACCATTGCATGAAAGGGGCTTTTGTAAGTTCCGGNTTCACGACATATCAATTTGGATATTTAACCTATTGACAGCAGCGCGTGTTTTGGGTTTGCCGCGTGAGACATGAGCGTTTTGCGCGCTCGACCGACACAAGTTGCACTCCGGATGTCTATTTTTTGTAAAACAAGCGTAACGTGTCAGGTAAGGAAAGAGCAGCAGCAGACGGAATGCATTGCTGATATGCTTTCTCTCGCCGAAGTAGAAACAGCATTACTGCGAAAGTAAGACAAAAGTAAAGCATCGCCAGAAAACTGTAGCCATTTGAGGAGAGTGGAGGAGGCAGAAAAAGGATAAAGTTTTTGAGCTTAAATTAATCTCGTCTGAGGAATACGCTCCCGCATTCGACTTCCGTTCGAAATCGTATTGACGGATTGGAGCATATTTGGTTTATACAATGAATTTCGGTGGCCGGCCGATGTACAAGTCAGCCCTTTTATCCTTCTAAACGAGTGATATCAATAAACAAACCTGGAGTACTAGAGGGTTCGGTTGACGTGGGCGTATATTGTTACGCAATAATCACAACCATCACCATCATAATCACGTATGGTCATGGGGTTCAAGCCCATGACTATACGTGCGTGATAGTGCGCCACTTGCCACCACATTACCTCCGCCTGAAGGGGTAGTAGGACAACGTAATTGACGTGAGTGGGAACTTGGATGTGTGAGTTGGCATATTGGGCAAATGACTAAAAACTAGAAACGGAGAATCTCTGCTGAAGGTTGATTATGATCTACCTTAAGCCATCGGCTCCGAACCATCCAATATGTGCTAGGGGAGGTAACTAATTGATCAAAATAAATTAGCAGGTGGTGTGTGGAGTGTTACGCTACCAAACTGTCCAGAGAGCAATGGTATGGTCTGCCTTGACATCAAAATAAGCAAATAGGGTCAAGCGTAGCAGTAAATGTGGAACATCTTTTTATATTGATTTTTCGATAGAAACACAAGTCTTGTCACATAGAAATGTAATTTCTCTAAGTTATTTTACCTTGTTATTGCCCACGTATAGATTGTCCTACTGTTTTTTTTNTTTTTTTTTGTTACGAACTAGAAGTCAAAGTACGATTTCATCTGGAAGTTTTGCAATATTCGGAAACCCATTGCTGTGCCAAAGCATATTTATCCGTGCGATGGACCACATTGTTTACAAAGGTCATAATGTTTTGCCTATATAATAAACAGGAAAATCTTGGGGAGAAGAAAAATCTTGCGAAGAAGAAAGGGGACAAGATTTTGACGCGCAAGCGCGTCAGCTGGTCCCATGCAGTCTACAAGGCTTGACGCGCATACGCGTCAAGCTGTTGCCACTGGGTTAATTTGTGACATCTTGTGCTACCTTTAGTAGAAGAAAATTTATTTCTAAGGCTAAGGCTGAGTACCACTTAATCTGCGGTCAGTTTGTACACCATGGCTAGGTCAGCTGCTTTCCTACGAAGTTCGAGCTTCCTTAACCGTTCACCGTAGGAGATTTTCGAAGAGTGATGGCTGTTGGCGCATAACAGTTAGTCATGCTGATGTTGGTGCGCTTGCCGTAAGCACAGCATGGTCACTCATGGGCGGAATGCATGAGTCTCCGGTGGTAACCAAGAATCTGATGCCGCCGACGTTCCTGTGACTTCATTGTCGTCACTTGAAGGGCGATGACGTCGCAGCGGTTCTCCTTGCTAGCTTCATTCAAGATGATTTAGTAGGCCGTTGAGGCGATGGTACGACAATTGTAGGTGCGAATTCGCAGACAGTTCTATGTCCCGAAAATTTTACGTCCTGTGCACATTAGATCGCGCAGCGGTTGTTCTGTACTCTACAAGTCCCATGAGGTCGTCGTTTTCTCCGGTGCACCTAGAGCTCATACTTTTATGTGCGCGTCGCTCGGGACCCTCTCTGGTCGTGTCGCAGTTAATATATCGGACCTCGAGTAGCTCATACTTCGGGGCGATGATTACCTCCATTGCAGGGGAGGGGGAATGAAGGCCACGATAGATCTTCAATGACGAGCTTGGTTCGGAATCGTAACCAATATTGTGGACCGTGGGGTGAGTTCTACGAAACCGCACGGTCATCACAGTTACTACAACAAGATAAGAGTTAGAACAAAAGGACCCTCAAGAATTGAGAATATCCACGTAATTCAATTCAATCCTCCGGCTGGTGTCGGCTGCTGCGGTTTCTTCTTGGTCATTGTTAGTCCGCCTTGATTAATTAGGCCAACAGGACACATGAAAGAGTTGAGAATGTTTATTACCTTACCGGGGGTCACTTATATAGGAGAGAATCCTCTTATCCTCATCCTCTTCTTATACTGTTGTTAAACTCTTCCATTCCTAGTCCTGGTCCATCTTCCCCCCCCCCCCCGTAGTTACTTCAACTCCATATTTTATTTTATTTATTTATTTATTCGTGCGTGCTACTTCACGTGCCTTAACTTGTACAGAGACAGCGATAACAGTCATCGTAAACAACCAAGAAGGGCTTAGTACCTATCGAAAATTTACGGATAACTAAGAATTGTAGTTGACAATCAAATATACCAAGGAGACCTCTCTAGCCTATAGTGGTCTGCTGGTATCCAGGTCCACTACCTCCACCCAGTTTTCAATGGTGCCTCAATCAGAGGGACTTCTGGACCTAGGCAAACGAGTACACCGACAACCTCGTGGGGCAGGTAAATCAGGTAGCAACCGCTTGCCAACCTTCTAAACTTCCGAAAAGAAAAGGTCACCTTCTAGGCAATAATTTTAAGCCTCTTAACAGATATTTCTATACCTAACGAGAAAGATAACATTCAAAAAATAAAATAAATGGTGCATAGAAAATGGTGTGGTGCATAGAAAATCACATCACGTCCTCACTACAGTTAATACTTATGAGAGGAAGCATTGGTGGCTGTATTGTGAAGCTTTGTATACGGACTAGAAGTTCATGAGTCTACTAGTAGTGCCAGATCACAGTGTTGTCGGATTGGTGAGATAGAAGCGGATGAAAGTCCACTGTTGCGATAACTAAATTGATCTCCCTCTTATTGGTTAAATTTCACAGCTGATAGCATCGGTAGCATTATGCCTCAGTAAATTCTTTTTAAACACCTTATCATTCATCAATCCGAATAATTCATTTGGCATTCTCGAAGTTCCTTGCCGTGCGATAAAAATAGGAGTGGAAAGCTAGCGAATAGGTTTTCTTGTGAATTCTTCGATCATATGTTCCAAACCTCGCGGACCTTCCACTGCATGGCTTGAAAACCCAATAACTGCTAGGTCTCAATCTGGTTTCATGTCTAAGTATTCGGAATCCCAAGGAGAGGTCATTAACCAATCTCCTCTTGCTCAAGCTTGTCAGCCCTAACCATCTCTTTCGTTCTTCATAATTCGGAATGACAGTTGGGGTAGTTCCTGGGTAGTTTCTGAGATAAATCAACCTAGTGAAAGTACGCATATTTATTCCTTCTTATAGACTTGTGACCGGGGAAGTTCGGCCATTCAGCCTGCACCTCCGCGTTGGAATTCAGCTCTCGCGCATACATCTTCCTGCGGGAGTTCGATTCTCGCGGTTACGTTTCCTCAATTCCAGTACACCAAATTACAATATTTCCAACAACATTTATTGAGCGCAACAGCATAATTGGATACCTAATCACGCTGCGAGTCTTCTTGGCACTCGTAATCTTCGTCTCGGCTTCTCGGGCGCTCGCGCGACTGGACCCGCGATCCTTCGCATTGGAGCGAGCACGATCGTGGCGAACGCTTTCGTCAGCCACCCACCCCGCTACAACTGCGGAAAGCGTTGCAGCCGCCACGGGTCTTCTTTCTCGTGGTTAGCGCCTCGATTCTCTTGTCGGTCCTCCAGTGGTCTGCGGCGTCGGGAACATCGAAATGTATACTTCTTGTTGTTGTTGCAATAGGACAGCCATCCATTCGGGAGTGACTTCCTTGCTACGGGCCGGAGCTAACAGCAGGCATACTTGCTATGAGTAACATCATGGCCATCGGAGCCATGTATACTGCATAGCTGGCCATATTCATTGTGGCTGCGCTGGAGATTCTGGCGACGTAGACGAAGGCAGGAACCAGATAATTGAACCTTACTCACTCCAGCTTTAAACTCGGTACTCTCCAGTAGAATCTGTCCACATCCTATCACTCTCATTCTGATGTGTTTAATGCGCCTTGGCTTTTCTTGCCTGTAAGCCTTCATCCTTTCTGTCTCTTTCCACTTCCTTCCAGACTTCGCAATATGGTCCCTCCTTCTTGGCTTTTCTTTTTTGAACTTATCTTCCTTCTCTGAGATGTAATCTTCCGCACATTCCCAGCGTATACTTGCTGCTTTATGTGCTCTGCATGTACCTTCTTTTGGTCGATTCCATGATGCATCTCATACTGTCACAGTGGTGATTATGCCAGGGATCCACTTCTCTTCACTGCCTGAGTAATTCAAAATGAATACTTCCTGTCCTACACTAAACTTCCGTTCCCTTTTTCCACGATTATGCTATTTCTTAATCTCCTCGTATTTGTTTGACCTCGCAGTCACCCCCGATTTCTTTATATCAAATGCAGTCCTCAATCTGCGGCCATCAGAAGCTCGGCGGGGCTCCTCCCTGTCGCCAGATGCGGTGTTACGTAATACCCAAAGAGCGACTCACTCACTGCCACTTTTTCTATTCCCTTGCTCCCTTCTGGAGCGAATTTTATCAGGCATTGACGATCTGCACAAATCTCTTCGCTTCCCCGTTGAACTTGGGTGTTAAGAGGGGTGGATATCTGCTGAGAATATCTGTGCTCACGATATTCGATGTAAGTGGCGTTCCAGCATCCCATACCCGCTGCTCCGGTAACCCATGTCTACCGAACGCCTTTAATTTCACCGTTGTTCCTCCTGTGGTTGTTGACCTCACCTTGATGACCTCCGACCATTTCGACTTTGCACCTTCCAGGACTAACCGTTTTGACGAACAGGTAGTCGTTGTCATGCTCTCTCTGTATCCTCCCAGCGGTGCAGCTGCATTCTAATAGGGCTCTTATCTAACCCTGAACAAATTTTGCGCTCTTCAGCCATCTTTGAAAAGTGCCATCCATCCAGGGAAGCCACATCTTGTCGTCGCCAATTGTTTTTGTTGCACGATTTTTAGCACGTTCGATACTGATCTCTTTGGGATAACCACTCTGTTATCCCGCGTTGAATACCCTTCATATAATGACAAAGATGCACCTATTGACAGAAGTGGCCGCAGCCGTTTCTTATACTGTTTTCGGCCATCCTTCTGGCATCTAACCATTCTGCCTTTGTCACCTCACTTTCCGGCTAACTCCATTTTTATCGGCTTTCTCACTTTACGATGGCGACCACGCCGACCTATCACGAAGATTGTATTCTCCACGTAACTATCCTGCATATGGTCGACATCGGAGCTTCTTGTAGGCTCCATACACCAATGCACCTGGCGGGAGTCTTTTCCTTTTGCCCGCTCCTCCGCATGCGCAGGCCAAATGCCCGCATTCGTCACACAGTTTACTGAACGCTTTTTCTTTTCGGAATCATTCCCTAGCAAATTGACCTATCTTGAGCTACCTATCTTGAACACTACAGATCGCACGCTCTCTGCAGAGCCCTCGCCCCAGCGTTTCACATTCTTTTCCAATGTTTGCGCCCTCCAAAACGTCCTTGCTTACTATTCATCCTTTTCTTCATCCCACTCGCTCCTGAGCTTCGGCCCCATGTGCACTTTGATGTCTAATCTTTTTCCAACAATTGCTTCTTAGTTTCTATTGTGTCATTACAGTCCAGTAAGACGACCGGTTTATTGTAGTCGTGACGATGCAAGCAAAAAGAAGAAGAAGAAATGTCCACCCCTACTCGAATTAGGCTAATATGGAGTAGATGTTTACGTTGAGAATTCATATCATTTCATTCCTATACACAATACCTCCCCCAGTAGAAAAATGCTTTGTTTCTACTAGGTTACATTTTAAGGTAGGTGCCATAGTATCTTTAACAGAACGTTTTCGCGTTCGTGTTGATCTTCTTAACGATGGTTGTGGTTTAGGACTCGGTGTACGTCGTCGATCTTCACTTGTCTGGATAACTTTTTTTTCTGGATCGACAGTCGCGGGCTGGTCTGTTGATTTCTCTGTAGGTATCTGCTGGTCGTCGCGAAGCAAATATATCCAGAAGCGTTTCCAACATCGAACTTCCGCTACTTGTCGGTTTGTCTACATGACGACGTTCGAGTTGTTTCACGTGTTTCTTAATCAGTTTTCCATTCACATTCACTTCGTAATTTACTGATCTGAGGCACCTCTTGATTGTGCCTTTTCCCAGACGAATTCATTGTCGAGCATAAACGGCTTCTCCAACGGCAAAGTTCCTTTTAATCGCACCATGTCTTCTGTCAAACTGGTGTTCTATGTACTCTCGCCTTTGTTCTGCGAAGTGACCATCTGTGCTTACCGGCATTGGCATCGGCATGCTTAGTCGAGTACGAATTTTTCTTCCGAGAAACAGTTCTGCCGAAGTTTTCCTTTCTAAACAGCTGTTTGGTGTGGTCCTATAGGCTTGCAGAATAGTATTCAACATATCTTCGGACGGTCTTTCTTCCCCTCTGGGTTTGTTGATACCTCGTTTCAGCGTAACGACAGAGTTTTCTGTTTGTCCATTTGATTGAAGCTGGTAAGGGGCTGTTGTTATGGTAAGGGCTCATCCTGATCGCCTGTTGTTGTGCACTTACACTCCAGTAAGACGACCGGTTTATTGTAGTCATGACGACACAAGCAAAAAGAAGAAGAAGTGTCCAACCCTACTCGAGTTAGGCTTATATAGAGTAGGTGTTTACCTTAAGAATTCATATCAGTTCATTCCTTTACACAGCAGTTTCCAGAGATTGTAGGCCAGCAGTAAGACGTTGTTACCATTGGGGTCTCTGACGTTCTTTATGTCCTCGAACCTACGCACATGTGCAGGTTTTCGGAACATTGCATGGAACTCCTGGAAGGACTGGCCTGGCTTTTGCATTTTGGACACATGAAGTCTAAAGGTCCAAATGGTTCAGCTAGCACCAATTTCTTGACTTGGAAATGCTTCTCAGGCGTTGCTGAAGCTGGTCGCATCTGTACACTCCAATTCTTGGCTCTGTAACATTCTTATCTCCACTCGTAGGTGGGGGACACGTTTACCGTCCTTGCGTCGACTCCATTGACGGCCTCTATCTTCTATGTTATCCTCCTTCAATCCTTCGGCTGGCGTCTGCAGCTGCAGTTTCTTCTTAGTCGTAACGGTTAGCCCTTCCTCATAACCAGTTAGGACGACAGGACACAAGAGTTGAGAATGTTCATTACCGCTTAGGGGGCCGCTTATACAGAATAGAATGTTATTATCCTTATCCTCTTCTTATCCTGTTGCTAACTTCTTCCATTCTTCGTCCTCGTCCATTCCTCCATACTTCTACACCGCAACCAGTTTACCGTTAACGATAGGGTTAGGCAGAAAGTTACTCAGCCGATGATATTCTGCGATTCCCTCCTATTCACTATTTTTGATCGGATTACTCTTCGGTTACCCACTGCCTCCAAGGAATTTCGTGTGCGGTCGTGATGCGGCGTCGATGTGAGTTGTTTGCAGCTATTAGTAAAGGTGACTTTAAAATTCCTGCATCGCGAATTCCTTGAATTATAGAATCCACATATGGAACGTACAAGGACAGAGGTAGGTGCAGTTCAAACATCAAATAGAGGGAAGTTTCCATGAAGAATCCGAAGAGAACTAGATTCTTCAAAAGAATGCTTCTAGGAAAATAAGTGGACGAACTCTGCAACGATTGTGTTGCTGGAGTGTAATTTCAAATGCATATTTATCTTTCTAATTCATTACTACAAACATCAACTAGCGACATCAAACGTTGCAACCTTAAAAATCCAGGAAATAAGGGGAATGGAGCAGGAGTAGGGAAGAGATCATGTAATAACTGAAGTCAGCCAGCAGCATGCCTGGTCACGCGATGCGATTTGGGCAAAGCAATGTTCCACGGTTCTTGAACTCCACGATTCCACGTTTCGAGAGATCAATACGTATCTAATACACTGGGCTGATTCCTGTTTACTCAGTTTATTAACATGCTTTTTCACGTGTTAACAAGTCCTGCTCAAATCATGTCCGATATATTCGTGGAAATTGTATGTTATGATGGCAGTTGTCGATAGTTTTTTCATGTTGAGACGTGTCAGCAATGTGCCACTGACGCACCTATCCATCAACGTCTTATGTAAACTTTCATGAATTTCGTCCATATGCAAGTTTTAATTTTGCTGAAATTTAGGAGGAAGAGCCTTCCTTTACATCGCACACTTGTCTGGAGCAAATGTGTTCATCATGCAATGAAATGGCAGTTAGTTCCAGTCCAGTAAACGATGCTGAGGAGAAACAGGATCGCAGTCCTCTTCGCGAGGTGCGATTACCATGACTGTTATCTTCTGCAAGTTTGTTGTTCCCAATATATGTATGTATATGGGGGTACATAGAGGCGATATAGCTCAAGTTGGAAATTCAGCTTTCAAAATCAGGAGGGAACCTGTGAAAAAAATCGTTCGTTCGTAAGTAGCAAAGTTCGTAACAAAGTCTTCTGCAGTGAATAAGACAAAAAAAGCAACGCTGCTTATTTCATAGTCTATAAGGATCCAGGAGCAATTTCCCTTTATGTTTCCTACTTTGCTGAATCAAGGTTTAAAAATTTTGAATATGGCAGCTTTCATAGTCCGCCGGCGCAATGACGTAAAACGAATTAGTTCGTATGTAAGAAATCTACGTCTGTTGCATTTTATTTCACGGTCAGAACAGGGGGTATGTGTACGAACGTGCTTCCGAGGATGCGCGCGGAAAATTGTGCGGCGAAGTTCGTAACTATTTAAACGACTTTAGCGCCTATCATTGGGAAGTAGAATAGATCAGAAGGATCATCTGACCCTAAAAAACTACTCTACTTTGAGTTTGTGCCGAGAAAATTGGTGTCAGAGTCATACAAATCGTCACGACCTTCGCCGCGCAAGTTGCCGCGCTCGTCCTCGGACGCACGTTCGTACCGTCCCCCTCAGAACAGGTCAGAATTGTGAAATAAAATGAATCAGACGTAGATTGCTTATGAACCAATTCGTTTTACGTCAGTGCGCCCCTGGTTTGTTGGCTATTTATCAGAAGTTCGTACCGTCCCCCTCAGAACAGGTCAGAATTGTGAAATAAAATGAATCAGACGTAGACTGCTTATGAACCAATTCGTTTTACGTCAGTGCGCCCCTGGTTTGTTGACTATTTATCAGAACCAAAACTATAACATAAAAGAATGAATTGTGGGAAGTTTTCATGGAAGTCCGTTACCCTTGAGGTTTCATTTAGAGCTGATCAGTGGTGATTGAATGTGTATTCGCCATTAGAAAGATTTACGGGTTCAGCTTATATGGGGAACAGATCTTTGTTATATAGTAAAGAGGAGACACAATTGAT